CGAGTGGGCCCCAGCGTGGGCTGTAGGGCTGGCAGGCGGGGCGCGGCGCCGATAAACAAGAAAAGGGCCAGACCCCGGAGCGTTTCTAGGTGGGGATGTTGGCTTTATTTCTCTGCCTCGCATTCTTGAGATGTTTCGGAAGGTTCTTGCAAATGTCCTGTTGGGTGGCATTTTGGTGTTTGTTTCTTTAAACGACTTAGCTATGCCTTAGTGAAGGGTCTTTGAAAAAGGAGGCCATTTCTTGACATTCTGTTTTCTGTCACTGCTGTTGAGAGGTAAAGCCAAGCCTGGCTTATAGAACACTTTCAGCACAAGACAAGCAGCTCTCTGTTCCCGTGACAGTGTTACAGTAAGGCCATTCAGCGCCGGGAACCAAGAAGATAGCGTGGCACGCTCATTTACTCGTTTTCTATTTACTCTCCTATTTTGTTCCGTCATTAAACGGTGTTAGAATTGAAAATTAGGACTCTCTTTTTCTGGCCAAAAGAAAACACAAGTGGCTTGTGGACTGAAACGTTTACTCACACAGATACTTCCAGAGGAGTAGAAAATCCTGGCCATGCGTCTGCAGAGAGGAGCTGGTGCCATAGGCCCCAGTTTCCCCTCCTGAATGCAGGCTCCGCGCCCGGAGGACATCATAAATCACATGTAATTTATGATGAGCCCAGTCGTGTGTTACACCCTGCTGGTTGGCCGGTGTCCTGTACACACCATGACCGCCCTTCTCCAGACCATACAGGGGCCTTTTCAGATGCGCCATAGGACAGAGAGCTGAGGATTTTCCCCTTGGCGGACCCAGCCAAGGAGCAGAGGAAGGAGAAGACAGAAGACCCTTGTTCTTTGAGTTTTGCCACAGGCCTCACCTGCTTTCTCCTAGATCGGAGGAAGGGAAGGAGCAGAAATTCTCTAAGACCATGATCATTATTTGCCTATTTTCTTTTATTCATATATTCAACAAGTACACATAGTATTTTCTGAGTGTCAGCTACCTGCAAGGCACTGTTGGGGATAAAGCAGTAAACAAAACAAGGTTTTGATTCTTGAGACTACACTGACACAAAGTAGTAGGCCCTATATCAGGAGGTGATGACATATTTTGCAGGGTGAGAGAATGGATAAAGGCAGGAAGGGCAACAAGCTATTCCACACCAGGTGTGCAGAAATGGATTTCTACTACGGGGACCTTTGGGAAGAGACTTGAAGAAAGTGATAGCGCAAGCCATGCGGGTTCTGGGGAAATTGCATCTCAAGTAAAGACAGAGGCCACCATGCAGGGGCACGTCTCAGGTGAGAAGCAGCCCAGTGGGGGGTGGAGGGGCTGGAGTAGAGAGAGCCAGAAGGGAGTAATAAGGAGAGGAGACACATGGGGGAGGACTAGCCTAGGGCTCATCTAGAGACCATGCCAAGGAGCTGAGATGCTATTGAAAAGGAGATGGACAGCCATTGGACGTTTTGGGAAGGTTGATCCTTTTGAAATACTTGAAAAACCAGAGTCTGAGCATAAAGTCAGGATAACAGGGACCACACACCCTTCACGTCTGAGAGAAAAGGAATGAGTGCTGTTGTCATCAGGATTGGACTGTCAGAACTTTAATTCACCCGGGGCAGAGCGTGAAACAGAACCGCTAGCTTGGCTTGACGTTGGTGTAAAAATCACACATGCTTTTTAAATGAGGACAGAAGTGAGTAACCGTGAGCCATTTACTCAACTGGTGGGAGTACTTTTCCTGGACAGACCTGGCTGCCACTGCCAGGGATGAGCGTCCTGTGAAGTCTCTTCTCTGGCTGCATTGTGGTTATGCTAGAGTTGTGAGTGAGGCTCCCAACATTATTGCTGTTCTTGCAAAGATTAGTGTGGGCTTCAGAGTCCAAGAGCAGCTGGTGGGATGCTAAGAATCATTCTAGGAGGCTTCAGTAACCCACTTTGCTCTCGGGGAACCTGGAGCTAACTCAGGCTGTTTTCCCTGCACAGATGACTTTGTCTAGCCTAGAGCTACGAGGAGCATGGGCTTGGTTAAGGTGATTTCGACTCCTTAGGAGAACTATCTTCCTAAAAATGAGGGCGATGGATAATAGAGTGGGCTACACCATAGCGCCCATCCTGCCTCTGAATGTCTGCACGCAGGTAGCACATCTCAGGAATGTTCCTGAAATGAAATGACTCTTGCTTTGTGTGCCTTTTGGACTAGAATGAACTCTCTGATTCATTCCAATGCAAAACCCTTCGGAGCCTATGAAAAGTGTTCAGTGAATGTGCTCTGCAAACATACAGACACTATATAAACAGGAGGCAAATATTTTACAAGATGAAGAGTGAAATACTTGTTCTTCTGGGAGGGCAGTGGTTGGAACTTGGTGCCCTAACAGCATACCTTCCACGCTCAGTCGCCTGCAGTCTGTTCTCATTGGCCCCGAACACAGCTATCTGCTTTATGCGTTAAAAATGTGCTCAGCCAAAGACCAAACAAATAGCTAAAGGCATTTTCCTATCAGCTCCGGTTGGTAGGAGGTAGAGCCAAGAAACAAAGCTGTTGGTTTTGAGTCTTGGCAGGAGGCCAAGCTGCTGCTTCAAAGCTCCAGGATTTACAAGGAAGAAGGGGGGAATTTTTTAGCTGAGATGAAGTTAGAATAGAAAACTTAAAGCTGAAATTAAAGCACGCTCTGGACTCCATGATGGAAAGGCAGACGCGTTCTGGGCTCTCAGATGGTTTTTCAGGGCAAGAATGAAAAGGTGCTTAAAGCAGAGATCACAGAATGGCCTTGATTCATGATACAGGATCACACAGCGTTTGAGCTGGGTGGGGCGTCCTTTGGGGATCATCGAATCTCGTCCCCTGGTTTACAGATAACGGATCAGAAGCTCTGGAACTTGCAGAGACTGCCCGATGTCACACAACCAGTTGTGGAAGTTGTGGCGTTAGAGTCCAGGACTCCTGACAACCATTTTGTGTTTTCGACCACTTTATAGAAGCAGCAGACAATTGAATGTGGCCCCTTGAGTCCTCAGACTTAGCAGCACAGCCTGGAGTCTCTTCCCGGCCCCAGCAGTAGGGTTGAGACCTGGCTGTAAGAGGCCTGCCTCCCCTCAGAGCCCAGTCAAGCTTGAACGGGTGTGTGGGGTCCTGGGGAGACTGCTGTGGCCAGGGGCCTTCTAGCCACCTGCGCCCTCTCAGCAGCGTCCCACAGTGTCACGGTGGGTGTTGTTTGGCTTCCTGTGCTGACCGGTTCCCTCCTCTTTGACAAAAGCCTAAACAAATTAAAGTTGTATTTAAATAACAGCACTCTTTTTACATAAAAGAACTCCCATGAAAGAACAGCTCCTGCTGGCCGCCCACTCCCAGATAACTTTGTTCGTTGAAACTGCCAGCATTTCAGTGAGCTGCTGTTACTTTCCTGCGGCAGGGGGCAGAGAGTGGGGGGGTGGGTAACCTGAAGGAAGGGGGACTGTTCTTGCCTGTCTCCATTTGAACAAATAAGCTGTCAATTATCGTTTTTGTCACTGTTCCCTCATTCACTTGTTCATTCGTTTTCTTGTTGGTCTGCATTCTGATTCTATCCAAAGAAAGTTTGACAAAACCTAGAGCAAAGAGCATATACGCAGTCAATAGAATAGACATGAAGTCAGGTCGCTGAGGAGGGGGAAACTTTTCACCCGTGAACTGACCTATGAAATCTGTGTTAAATATCAACTTTTACTCTGGCCTTTCTGGCAACCAGAATAAAAAAGAAATACACAAATCCTAGTTATCAGCAAGGGGGAAAAATTCCAATTTCTTCAAGAGAGACTAAGTGTTGCTATTCTGGGGCTCGTGGCGTTACTAAACACTTAGAACTTTCCAGTGCTTAATACAAAGCTCCCAGCTCAAGAACACCCCTCCCTCCCTCCTCTCTCTTCCAAGTGTCCTTGCTTCAGGCCACCTGGAGCACCCCTCCTAAAAAACCCCACATGTTCTTAGTGTTATCATTGGCTCTGTTTGTGTGTGTCAGTGCGTGGCTTGGGATAAGGGGTTTAGCTTGGGTGATGAAATTGTATTGTTCAGGTGTCTCTAGGATTTGCAGACCACAAGGACAGGAGTCAGAATTGCAGGGAGGGTCGGAAGCTGGTCCTGCCGTGGCTACCCTGCCTCCACCACTGTCCCTGCCCCTCTCCCACAGAGCCCCAAGCCCCAAGCCCCTCCTCTGGCCCTTTTTTGCTGTGTCGAGGTGCTTTTTTGAACAGGGCATCCAGAGGGAAGAGAGTTCTGTGGAATATGTACTGATTTTACACACCTTCATGGGCCCTGAAAGTGGGGAATGAAGTTTGTGGTTCCGTGTCATGGAGGGTTCGGGAACTAGTATTAGACACTTACGGGGGGAGGACTGAAGTGGCACTGTGAGCTCCTAAGCTCCGTCCTGACGTCGTAACTGGAATTTTGATTCTTCCAGAAGAAGAAAGAAGCGGTGTTGAAATTCCCATCCCTTTACATGATTTGACTTCATCTTTATAAGACTTGGGATGCGTCAGGGGATAGGAGAACACTCTAGAATTTTTGAGTGTGACAAGGGTTACCTATTTACTGAAAGTTTGTTTATTTTTTGTTGTTGTTTCTTACTGTAAACATATATATTCTCTATATACATTGCATGTTCACAGAGACCTATGTTTTAGAGTGCATCATTGCTAAAGAAAGGGATATTCCCAAGTGAGAAGTCGTGGATCTGAAGTGATTTGTCTGGCTTCTTGGCCCCTCACCCTCATTTGAAAGACCAGGTGGCTTCTTGGCCCCTCACCCTCATTTGAAAGACCAGGCACCGTGGCTGGGTTTCAGACCGTGGCCTGTGGTCGTGGCCCTTCGCCCTAATTAGGCTGACGCCAGTCACATGTTTTGCTAGACCCTGAGGAAAGCTGGGGTTTGGGCCCTCACGTGAAGGGAATGAATGTGTCAGTTCTACTTGGAATGCTTTTAGTAATTGTTTTAAGCAATGACTTGATTCTCACTTGTGCTTATTCTTTTTAAAAGTGTTAGAAAGGAAGATATCCACAAGACAAAGTAGAGAGGAGCTGATAAGAAGGGGAGTTCTTAAGGAGTTGCCTGATCAAGGTGAGGACATTAATCGTACCTTTTAAATAAGCTGATCCTTCGTCCTTTGGTCTTTCTTTCATTTTCTTTTGAAACCTAAGATGACCGTGGTCTTTGGGAGCTAAAGCAGTGAGCCCTCACTCCGAGAATCTTGCTTGAATTCAGAATGCCTCTGTGGGCTGCAGAGAACCCAAGGTCTCCTAGAAAAGAAGAGAAATTCAGTGACCTTTTTGGTGAGCCCTTCACCAGGTGTCACTCTAAGCCTGCAGCTCTACAAAGGTACCCTGTAGCTGCAGATACAGATAAGATGCAAATGCTTACGCGGCTGCTTCTGCTTCTCCTCTCTGCTCTTGAGCTGCAACCTTTCCATACAAATTAACTCCACTGTTTGGGTAAATGCTGAGCTTTCGCTTGGCTCATGACTTTGGTTTCTTAAGTCTACCTGTAAAAGAAAAGAGAAAAAGAGATGAAAAACACACCTCTCTTGTCCTTTGACATGCACTCAAATGTATAATCAAGAAGGCGGGAATGGGCACATTAAATTAATTTGCTTTAGCATTCTCTCAAGTAATTTTCTCAGTCTCTCACCTCTTCACTAACGATTATTTCCAAGTATTTTTTTCTGCCTCTGTCTGCTTCCCTTTCCCCTCTATCCTCACAAGGGGGAATCTTACTGAAAAAGACAAAGATTAGACGGAAACTGAGATAGACCCACAAAAGAAGACACCAAGATCGGTTATTGCTCCAAGGAAATAATACTTAAAAATTTTATTGCTCCCATTACTAATGAAACTTAAGAAAGTTTCTGTTGTAACATCATTGATTTACCTCCTGCCTTCCTCGCCCTACCCACCCCCAACATTTACTGGGGTAAATTATTATTATCAGACTTTTATGGGAACAAATAAAAAGCTATTAAATTGGAATTGAAATAGTAGTACTTCTCTTTTCTTAATATACTTGGATCTATGTTCCTTGCAAAGAACACCTTTTGGCATTCGCTATTTATAAATCCAAATGACACTCTTTTTCCAAAGTCTGAATAATCCGAGTGGAACTAGGAAATGCTTTACTATTTTATTCCTGCTTCAAAGGAAACAGGGCAGTCTGGAGTGAATACTACCTTTTCTTTGGAGTGAATACTACCTTTTCTTTCGTGGTGTTTTTTTTAAGTCCTCACAGTTTTAGGTATTTTACTTTGATTTCTGGCCTGTTACACTTTTTTCACTCCATTTTATGAATGAATTTTGTCTCCCCTAATTTTCTATTACCTTGAAGCTATTTATTTCCTGCCTGGGACTTTTAAAAATAAAAAATGCACATCCCTAAATGTTTTTTCCCTTGAAGGTTGGCTTACAGTATCAAAATTTGTCTCCTCTCTAGTAAAATCTCTGGAGGCAGGAGAGGATTTACAGATCCACTAACAGCTGAACGCTACAGTCACCTCTATTTTAAAGGAGGGAAAATTTATGATTGAAACCGTTACTGGATATTAAAGATCTGATTAAAGGCCCCGTTTTTTCATCCAGTTAAAAACTGTAGCTAGGAAAGAATTTACTTTTCCTAAAAACAAGTGGCAACTGTCAATCTAAATAAATGCTTTGTATTGCTTCCTTTTTAGTCTTCTAACCTGTTACATTATTTGCATGGCCGATTACAATTGCATATACTTATTTCCCCCAAAATCTGACCTATTTGCCCTTTCTATTTAACTTTTGCAGACTGAACATTAAAAGTTTTAAACCACGGAAGAACAAAACAGTTTTTAACCTAACGTAGTGTGATAGGTTTTAATGTTTGGGAAGTCATAAATTACTGAATTTTACTTCCCACCTTTTGCACAGTCCCTGTACACAGCTATAGAAATTACCTAATATACTTGGACGTTCCCGGTGATGCCTGTTGGAAATAGAGTCTTTCCCCCTTTTCTGCCAAGAGCTGGAAAAAAGAAATTCTTGTCATTTTCCCATAAACAATTATCTTGAGAATTTCATTCTGTTTTCAGAGACTGGAAGCTGCTGTGCTTGGTGACAGTCGCCTGTTTTCTGCCAGTGAGGATTCGTGTTTTGCCTTGATCTTCTTGACCTTGCTTTAGCTCTTGACAGTGCTTGTCAATTATGCCCTTTATTCAGTGAGCCAGATAGACTTTTTAAATCTCTCCGGCTACCCTGGCTTTGACCTTGCCCCATCCCACTCCTTACCCTCCCTCTCAGCTGTTAGTATTACCCCTTTTAAATTATCGTTTTTACACCAAGATCTACCTTCAGTCTAAAAGCTCAGCGACTGGTCTTCTCTCCTGAGAAGTTCGTGGTCTAGTGCAGGCTCAGTTCTCATCTTCTGGTCTTTCCTTCCGTCCTCTCCTTTAACAGGAGGGCACGTAGATGTTTTTGCCTGCCTGCCAGCCTCCTTCCTTTTCTCTCATGGCGCATCTCTAACCTTCTAAAGGGTCACTCACCTTTGTTCGGACATGACTTCCTCCTGGTCCGTGTTCCTGCAGTAACTATCTCACGTACACTTGTTTACCAGAAGGAGGGAAAAGCCCTCAGACCCTCTCACACTCCTTCCTTAACCACTTATTTCCATGTCTGCTGTAGCTCTTGGTTTATTTTAATCTCACATCTCTTTCCTGCGTTTTCTCTTTTCTTTGCATATAAATGCTCCTCTAAGACTTGGTGTGGGCGTCTTACTGTAACTTGCAGTCTGGCTCAGCATCTTCTTTTGACTTCTTTTGCAGAGCTTGTATTTTACGGACATACATAAACTATATGAAAGACTTAACTTGTTTTAATTCCAAAATAATATACAAAACTAGAAAACCTTCTCAATCATACACCAATTGTTAGTAACTTCAGTTTTCCTCTGTTTTATTCTTAACTTCCACATTTATTACAGACATGTTTCCTTTTTCTATAGTTTTTTTTTTAATAATCACTAGCTTTATTTCATATCTCAAAGTATCCCTTCACATTATCAACGATTTCTCTCTATTGTGATAATCCAATTTCTTCTTGTAATANAAGTATCCCTTCACATTGTCAACGATTTCTCTCTATTGTGATAATCCAATTTCTTCTTGTAATAATAACAGAAAATCTTTTGGGTTTGTTTTGGTTTGACACATACTCTTTAAAAATGTATTGCCTTAATTTTATTGGAATAGTTAAGATTTACTAGCAGTGACATTGCCTTCCATTATGTCTCTTTTATTATTACACATGAGTCGGATTAGAGGTGCTTGGAAGTTACACGACTAAGCAACAACCACTTTTGCATTTTGAACGTGATATAATTTTATGATATATATTTTTTACTTGTTGAAATGTCCTGCTTGTTTTTGTCAATAAGGCCAGTAGGTTTTATTGTGGAGCTAAGGCCATTCAGTCATGTTTAATGAAAATTTGGAAGATGGTCTCTGTTTTATAATGGTTGCCAAAATAAGATTAATCAAAATTGCATAAATCAGCTGTAATTATGCATTTCAAGTTTCCTAAGTAAAAATGTCAGTTCATTAATTTTTCTTTTACAGTGGTAGCAAAACCTCTTAAAATTTTCCAAGTAGGAACTAGGGTTAATCTTTTCAAGCATTTTGGTTGCTGAATTAAGAGTTTTCTGCAAAATCTCTTCCACTTTAGAAACTCCGAGGGATTGTGAAACTCAGGGGTTAAAATTGGTTATTTATTACTTATATAATGTATTAGAAATATTATTTTCAGTTGGGATTTTTAAAACTTCTATAATTACCTTTTTTCACATTTTTTACCCCTAATGTTTTCAGGTTATTATTTGGCCAACTTAAAGACTCTTTGATCAGTTATATATAACAAATTATGTGAGTTAATGTTAATATTTTCATAAATAAGAAAATGAAAATACAGTTAGCCATGCTACCATCATTCCTTGAATATAAAAGTAGCAATTGTATTATTGCATAAAGTTAACATATCATAGAGGTAAAATTCCATATCCTCCCACTAATTGTTTGTATGTGTAACTACATTTCATGTTACTTGTGTATTTGCATCCACCCTGTGTTTTTGGTGCTTGTTAAAATGTTTGTTCCATTTTTCAGGTTACTCCTTTTAGATTCCGTTTCTGAATGACAAAGAAACTCCTAGTGTTGACTTCAACAAAACCTAAGCTCAAGAAGAGAGGGACTCTGCTGCCCGGGGGGATTTTATTATTAGAATAATCATTCCTACTGTCTTGAAGTGGCACCGAGATGCCCCTCCATAGCTGCATTCCCCCAAGACTAAGGATTTTGTAGTTCTTTCACTTGAATGAATTATTTAGTAAAATACAGTGAAACAGTACAGGATGTATTTGGTTCCCAGGGCCTGAAACCTGAACCCTACAGTCCTAGTAACTGGAAAACTGGGTTTTAAGAAAGCCATCCAATTAGACATCTAGGTGTTTCTTTCCCTATTTTAGATGGAGATGTAACAGTTAACTTTGAAAATTCAAACGGGCACATGATACCCATCGGAGAGGAGTCTACCCGAGAGGAAAATGTAGTAAAATCTGAAGAAGGTAATGGCTCTGTCGCTGAAAAAGCGCCACCTCTGGAGGAAAAAGCAGAAGAGAAGACAGGTAAAACCAAGAGAACCCCTTATTCTTTTACTTCACTGTAGCTCAAGGGCGAGAATCAGGTCTTAGGCTCCAGAGTGACCTTAAGACCAGTAGAGAGGAAATTTACAAACCCAAAGAAGAGAGAAATGATAACTGGTGAAGAAAGGTTGGATCATTTCCTCAAGGAGACACATCCATTTTATAAGCACGTCATTTAACTTTTTATTAAAGAGGGCTAATTACCGTTAAGAATCAGATGGGATGGCCTCTTCCGTCATTAGAGATGTCTGGGACTATTCTCTTTTCCTCAGGAGCTTTTTCTCAGTACCTTCTTTGGAAACAAAAGTGCCAGCAGTCAGAGCATCGTTCTCTGCTGGTTAGAAGTGGCCCCTGTGAGCAGCTCAGCTCAGAGGACTATCAAACAGGTGGCTCTTTCAGCCCAGCACTGACTCTCCTCCAGCAGTGGGAGCTTGGCTGGTGCATCCACACACCCAATACCGCAGGTTCTAGACCAGGTTCTAGACTATTCTAAGACCCAGGAAGAGTCCCCAGAGATGCTGGGATTTGGGTTGCTGTACTGAACATAGCCTCTACTCAGTGATTTGTCTATGCAATTGGAAATTTCAAAATATGCCAGAGGCAATTATGCCATTCCCCAAAAGCTTCTTTAGAGACCCCACTTTCTAGAGTGACTATGCAATGCTAAGTTGCATGACTGCAAAATACATGTCTATCAAGAACCCCCAGAACATTCACAAGTTCATGGCCAATGATTGATCGCCTCCCCATACCACCGCTTTTATGGGCAGACACCTCCAAGCCTCATACTTATGTAAACATGAACTGAAACTCCCACAAGTAAGGCTTGGTTGGGAGGTTCTAGATGATTCCATGCAGCATAAAAATGAATCCTCAGGAAATGGGCTATTTCCTGTTCTACAATGTCTGCTTCTCAGTTGGCAGATGGCAAAAGGTTTGTCAAACTTAGTTTAGGTTCTGTAGGCATTTTGGGAACTCTTAGAATCTGCTGGAAGCAAACTTCTCTTCTGTTCTTGATCCAAATCCTTCAAAGACAAAGAGAACAAAAGAGCATCTTACAGACCTAACTTAAAAATCAACTACTCTGAAAGTCCATCCCCCCTTTTATTTGCATGTAAATTAGCCTTTAAAATTTTTAGAAGCCTCTGTTAATCATCTGTTAGAAGTTTATTATTTTTCTTTGTTCAATATTAAGTATAGTATAGGACTCTTAGTCTTGTTTCATTGAAGGACTCTGCCTAAGCTTATGAATACTGATGATGAGAAATTAAAGTTTTCCATGATGCTATCTATTCCTGGAACATAAAGAGAAACAGACCTAAATAGATTTTAAGGGGATTCAGTTGAAAGCGTTAACTCAAATAGTGATTTCTTTTATTTTTATTTTTTTATTCCAACTGTCCTGTTTCACCAAACTGTTACATTTCAAATCCATCTGTGGTGTGTGCCTTGAACAGCCTTTGCGCATTGAGAAGTCACATCCTTTATTGTGTAACAGCGCCGTCTCTGGTGCTCTCTTGGTCCATGTGGGGTGTCAGTCAGTGGACTGGCCAGACTTCAAAGGATTCGTGTCCCTTATCACCTTAATAAAAAGTTGCTGACAGTTTTATGTTAATTAAACCAGCAGGCCTTGATGTTCTAGAAAGACCATGGCAGGCCTCATGGGTCCGTGGGTATTTGAGAGATGTTTTTGTTTGCTTGCTCTTTTCTCAGAATTGGTACATTCAGTTCCTTTTGGTCAAATAAGGTCCGAGATAGCATCTTGCTTGGCTGGTCTGTACATAAGGAGATGAAATGCTGGACATGCCACCACACCGTGGCTCATCAGACACATAGCCTCCCTCCCCGGTGCACCCGGCTGGGGCACCAGAGCCACTCAGTGAGAGGAAGCATGCGCTACGGAAGCCACTTCCAGGAGTAAAATGAAGGTCACTCATAGTGCGCATTACATAGCATTAACTTGCTAGGAAATGCCTTGTGAACAAAGGTTACCACTTAATTCTCTGTAAAGATACCGTTTAATTCTAAAAACACCCCAAGATTCACTTTTACATCTTTAGTTCTGATCTCACTTCCTGTTTGAGCTTACTACCTTGCAAATCCACCATCCCATGTTCTTAATTCCCCCTTTATTTTGGGGTGCAGCACTCCCTTTCCTTTTGCAAGAACATTATTTATGCAGCTTATCCGAGAGCATTATTTCATCTATTAATTGGTTATGTTTGTAAAACCACGTCCTGTGCCTTTAAAGTTCCAGATGCTTGCATCTCTTTTTAAGACAGTACGTCTGTACTTTAGTATTTAAAACATCAGTGTCAAAAAAGACAAATAACAAGTGGTCTTCACACTGCTCTGTGGGTAGGTTTCACCTAAGACACAAGGGTGTTCCTGAGGCTCCCAAAGGCTCCTGATTCTGAAGTTGATACAGTGGTCTTGGGCCCCCTATGCCCAACACTGGAGACTTTCCCCTTAAGACCTTCAGGGCTTAGTCTCTCAACAAGTGCCTTTAAACATAAAAGAGGCAGAAAAACTGATCTGCAGTTTGTTAAGTGTAGCTTGGAATTAACTATGAGAAATCTGAAAATTGTTTGATGTATTTCTGTTGAGTTATAGAAGACTTTCAATGAAGTAACAAATGATTTCATGCATTTATGCCAACACAGTAATGAAGGCCTGCCATGGGTAGGACTCTGCTGGGGACCAGGCAGAGAGCAGTGAATGAGAAATGGCCTTTGCCTGCAAGCAGATCATGGCCTATGAGGAGCCCAGCATGCAATACAAGGTGCCAAGTACTCTGGAAGGCCTGGGTGCTGCAAGTCAGGGGAGCTCTCAACGGGGACCAAAATTGGTCCTCAGAGGAAGATACTTCTAACTAAGATTTGAAAGAGACACAAAAGAGGCGGCCTGGTGAAGGAGAGAAATGGGGGCAGAGGTGTATTCTAGGCAAGGCAGAGATGCATGCAGTTCTCAGGTTTACCCCGTGTTGTTGAACTAAACTCTCCATGTGGTGGGAGGAGCCAAACATAAACAGCCGTCCTCCAGACTGTCTCATGGAGCCTTGTCCTTGTCAAGCCAGAGTGAACGGCAGCCCTTTATTAATTAACCTCCTCTGGAAAAGAGAATACTCATGGACACCATCAGTTTAACCATGTCTTCAGATCATAGGACAATAATATAACTTGACTGAATTCATTATCTCCCAGATAAAAGGAGGAGTTTGTCTTCTACTAATGTGTGTTGTTAATAACTGTCTGCCAATCAGTCACATTCGTTGAATAGACACTGTGTTTAAAGCGTTACGCTTAATGAGATAAGAAATTTTAGACAAAAGGCGTTTATAACTTAGTCAGAAAAGCATGCTGTTTGTGTGTGTGCACCACTCCCCCCCAGGCATCCCCACAGACTAAACATAAACACTGGCCATATGGCAAACACACACCGGCAATTGGTGGAGCCCACAGGGAGGAGTGGACCGTGCTTCTCGAAGAGCCGGCCCAGAGCTTGCACGCACCGTGTTCATTCTCACCCAGGAGGGATTGTCATTTTTAGNTGGCTCATCAGACACATAGCCTCCCTCCCCGGTGCACCCGGCTGGGGCACCAGAGCCACTCAGTGAGAGGAAGCATGCGCTACGGAAGCCACTTCCAGGAGTAAAATGAAGGTCACTCATAGTGCGCATTACATAGCATTAACTTGCTAGGAAATGCCTTGTGAACAAAGGTTACCACTTAATTCTCTGTAAAGATACCGTTTAATTCTAAAAACACCCCAAGATTCACTTTTACATCTTTAGTTCTGATCTCACTTCCTGTTTGAGCTTACTACCTTGCAAATCCACCATCCCATGTTCTTAATTCCCCCTTTATTTTGGGGTGCAGCACTCCCTTTCCTTTTGCAAGAACATTATTTATGCAGCTTATCCGAGAGCATTATTTCATCTATTAATTGGTTATGTTTGTAAAACCACGTCCTGTGCCTTTAAAGTTCCAGATGCTTGCATCTCTTTTTAAGACAGTACGTCTGTACTTTAGTATTTAAAACATCAGTGTCAAAAAAGACAAATAACAAGTGGTCTTCACACTGCTCTGTGGGTAGGTTTCACCTAAGACACAAGGGTGTTCCTGAGGCTCCCAAAGGCTCCTGATTCTGAAGTTGATACAGTGGTCTTGGGCCCCCTATGCCCAACACTGGAGACTTTCCCCTTAAGACCTTCAGGGCTTAGTCTCTCAACAAGTGCCTTTAAACATAAAAGAGGCAGAAAAACTGATCTGCAGTTTGTTAAGTGTAGCTTGGAATTAACTATGAGAAATCTGAAAATTGTTTGATGTATTTCTGTTGAGTTATAGAAGACTTTCAATGAAGTAACAAATGATTTCATGCATTTATGCCAACACAGTAATGAAGGCCTGCCATGGGTAGGACTCTGCTGGGGACCAGGCAGAGAGCAGTGAATGAGAAATGGCCTTTGCCTGCAAGCAGATCATGGCCTATGAGGAGCCCAGCATGCAATACAAGGTGCCAAGTACTCTGGAAGGCCTGGGTGCTGCAAGTCAGGGGAGCTCTCAACGGGGACCAAAATTGGTCCTCAGAGGAAGATACTTCTAACTAAGATTTGAAAGAGACACAAAAGAGGCGGCCTGGTGAAGGAGAGAAATGGGGGCAGAGGTGTATTCTAGGCAAGGCAGAGATGCATGCAGTTCTCAGGTTTACCCCGTGTTGTTGAACTAAACTCTCCATGTGGTGGGAGGAGCCAAACATAAACAGCCGTCCTCCAGACTGTCTCATGGAGCCTTGTCCTTGTCAAGCCAGAGTGAACGGCAGCCCTTTATTAATTAACCTCCTCTGGAAAAGAGAATACTCATGGACACCATCAGTTTAACCATGTCTTCAGATCATAGGACAATAATATAACTTGACTGAATTCATTATCTCCCAGATAAAAGGAGGAGTTTGTCTTCTACTAATGTGTGTTGTTAATAACTGTCTGCCAATCAGTCACATTCGTTGAATAGACACTGTGTTTAAAGCGTTACGCTTAATGAGATAAGAAATTTTAGACAAAAGGCGTTTATAACTTAGTCAGAAAAGCATGCTGTTTGTGTGTGTGCACCACTCCCCCCCAGGCATCCCCACAGACTAAACATAAACACTGGCCATATGGCAAACACACACCGGCAATTGGTGGAGCCCACAGGGAGGAGTGGACCGTGCTTCTCGAAGAGCCGGCCCAGAGCTTGCACGCACCGTGTTCATTCTCACCCAGGAGGGATTGTCATTTTTAGATGCCATCGAGCCAATCATCTCCTCCTTCCCAAACCCAGAAGCTGGATTCCTTGGGGTATAACTTCAGAATTTAAAACCTTAGGCAGAAAGGAAAAAGAGCCCTCAGTGATCTGCCAGGAAGGCAGAGGGAAAGGTTGTAAGGGCTCGAGGTGTGAAGGAAAATAGAGAGGAAGGGTTGCCGGTCCTTTTCGCTGGCTCTCACCAGACAGTATTATTGGGCTTAATTTCCATGCATGGTATTATGCTAGGAGCTAATCTTCTAAGGATTTTAAAAGACTAGGCTCTGTCCAGTGTCAAAAGGCTGGCAAGTCAACGTCTATATACGTTGTATGTAAAATGTTGTAGGTGCGCATTAACTTAGGTTGTTCTCAACCCTAACTGACTTCTGTGACTAAGTGTCCTCTAGGTTCAGACCAGGTAGGTTAGGAGAGCCACTGCTCCTTTGGGGAGATATGATGTATAAATAGAAAGGCACATACAAAAAGTGGCCTTTGATAAATGTTGAATCAGTAGCTACGATGAAATTCGATGCAGGAGGGGTCAACTTGGGTTACAGTGACCGAGTGGGCTTCACGGCTGAGGCAGGGTAAAAGAAAAGTTGTGCTGATTACCTACCATCACTTGAGTCATTTTTATGGTGGTTATATATGTAGGTTGATGGGGATGTAGAATAAAGACGAGGGTGAAGTCCTCACTTCACTCAGACTAGGATAAGAAATGAAACAAAGGAAATAATAAACTGGATGCATTCTAATATTCAATCCATTCTCTGTCATTCAATAATGGGAGGCTATATCTAGTGAAGGCTTAGACTTGTCTTAACACTGTCTTATGTTTTTTTATTGTGCTCCATTTATAAAGAAATGCTGCTTAGCTCTTTGGACCAGAACTGTATTTTAATTTCAGTTGACCACTATTAGGGAAAGTACAGATGCGACTATATGAATGAACATACAGTATCTTCACTCTCAATAATGAGAGACAAATATTATTTCTCCTTCAGTTAGGCCAAACCTTGTGAGAGTTTCGTTTTCTTAGGTATGAATTTTTTTAAATAAATTTTAACCTTTGTCTTTTCAAAATTGTTACTTGTGTTTACATCACAATACAAGTTTGGTATTTTTTTGGATTCTGTACCTGTAGTTGTGGCACCATTAGGAAAGGCCAGAGGAAGTTGTTATAAAACAGGAAGCTGCCCAACTGCACCGGGAGAGATTGAGAAAACTTAAATAGTAGAAAACAGTTCATTCTGTGTATTGTGCTTCCTGTAAAGGGTTCCACAGAGGTTCCCTTAGCTTAGAAATTGTTGGGTTTTGACCACAATGAGGCAGAGCACAAGTCCCTTTCTGGTTGATGGGGCTTGCGTTCTCCTGAGAGCAAGTCCCTCTGTGGAGGGGACAAAGGTAACTGTGAGTCCAGCCATCTCCGTGTAGTCAATCCTCACCCCATGGCAGTATCTGTAATGTGCTGGTCAGTCCCTCTCCGGAGCCCTTCAGTTTTGTGAAATTCAGTGTAGCAATCATGCTCACATAAGCATCCAGCAATGTCCAATTCAAGGCTGGTGTTGGCCCCTGAGAGTGGACATTTATATTCATCTTCAACATAACTTCATCAATGTAACTTGAGCAACCCTGTGTCATCACAGGAATGATTAGCGTACCCGGACAATGCGCCCTGCTTTGGCCTTTGTTTTGACCTCAAATGACGCTCTCTCTGGTGCAGAATGCCACCCTGTTTCCCAAGGGCCAAGCAGCCACATGTTTGTATCCCTGTCGCCGTATGTCTTGTTCCTTCTATTTATATGGTGTGTGTCTGTATCAGTCTGCTTCTGTTCACTTTCTCGTTTGTAGAGAACACTGAAAACCACTCTGAAACACCGGCAGCTCCTGCTCCACCTCCTTCAACTCTTCCTAAGCCTAAACCCAAACCTAAGCCCCAAAAAACACCCGTGCCTCCAAAAGGGGCTGCTGCTGGGGCCAGCCCCAAGGGTGACGAAGTGCCTCCTATTAAAAAAAATACCAAGGCTTCTGGTAAGCAGGCCCCCATCCCTCCACCCAAGCCAACAAGCCGAAACACGACCCGAGAGGCCGGTGAGTATGCCCCCGGTGGGGTAGAGTCTAGGGTACTCGGCTCTGGGGTGGGGCTAATTACTTCTAAGAATCATGGCCTTTTGGATGTCTGGTATCTTAGGATGTAACACCAATGGATTCAGCTTTGACACCAAGAATGCCCAGGAGATTCCTTTGCTGCTATCTCTATCAAAAGAAAGTCAACCAGTTGATTAGTTGACCTCATTAGTTTGGGGGTGAATACACCTCTTTCATCCTGAGTGGCCACGGTCTACATGAGAACCATTAGAAGGAAACAGGGAGCAGTGTGCCTGGTGAATGGCGATGCTCTGAGATGACATTATTTAGACATCAACTGGCCTCTGCCTGTTTGAGTTTATGGGTGGATTTTTGGCTTGGATTTTCTTTCAAGATGTCTTAAGTTTGCACGTGAGAATATGACACGTGCATCTTTGACATATTTGCTGTATTGTAATGTCTTGAGTCTGTCCACATAGCTAGTCATTTCTCTATTCATAAGTGACAAAGGTTGGTTCAGCCCACCACTCTGTATTGAGTCTACTGTTTCAGCAGAGTCAAAAGTTACATGCTCAGTGCTTCCCCTTCCCCAAACAAAAGACTTCAATTTGTTAGAAGGAAAGCATCCTAGTGGTGTGGTTACAAATCACTATTGCAAATCCCCAGGGGATGTTTTGGTGACCTACAATATCTGTAAGTGATGTATATCCAGCTCTCCTTTCAATTCAGATATGCTTAACCGAAAGGGAGCTCCCATCTTCTAGAGAACGGGAATGAGGAAGGCTACCATGCCATCTAGCCTTTTTAAAAGACATTCAAGTACGTGTGCTAGGTGGCTTTTTTCCTTTAGCACATGCATAAAAATCCTCCTGTTATAGCAAACCTTATCCCAAAATCAGCAGCAACGTTCTCGAAATTGGCCACCAGGATTTGCCTCATATTCACCTTTTTCCCTTTGTAATTCATACGCATAATGCTCAGATTCAGAGAATGGCTTGGTTGACAGTATGTCAAACCCCTGAGTGTAGATAGGTGTCTCTCTCCCTGTGTCCCCGTCTTCTGCCTTTGACCTTGAGCGTCTGCATCTCTTCTAATAAGGGCTAACGTGAAATGTCTCGGAATCCCATGCCAACAATGCGTTCAGGCCATTTCCTCAGGGACCAGCTGCCCTCACGTCAGAGTCCATTCTTGTTGGCGTCTGCGTTTTCCCCAGACTGCCTGCCGCACCCTGGGATCAGTGCTTGACGTAAGGTGGGCTCAGATCCACCTCTTGAAGAAAAGCCCCCACCTGTCTGCCTCTCCTTGGGAATTAAAGCCCGCCTCACACAAACCTTCCCGCTTCCTCATGCCCACACGGTAGCAGCTGGCTGTTGCCTCGCTTAGACGCCACCTTCCTTCTCATAAGAAAGCTGATTAATGCAGGGCAGTGGGCAGCTTCCATGAAACATTTTTTGGTTATTTCCAGATATTTTACTTGATTTATTTACAGACTCATGTTCCTAAGAGAATAGTACAGTTGTGTTATCCATTGTATTACAAGAGGCCCGACTGGTCCACAGTGTATGTAAGGATGTTGCTACTCGTGGGACTGCCACCGAGAAATGGGTCGCACTGCAATGTACTAACAAGCCCATCGTACAGGGATGCTTTTTTTAATACTGATAACACCCCATCAGAATCCAACTGATATTCCACTTGTAACCATTACAACTGTCTACACCGTAATATTTAATTTGAAAAATGTTGACCTTTTGGAAAGTTACTTAAAATGCTGCTCTTGGTTTTCAGTCAGATGTTTTAAGTTCCTAAAAAAGATACCAGTTAAGACTCTTCCTCTGTTACTTAATTAGTGTACACCTCCAGGTGACCAGGTAGCTGTTTGGCACAGTAAGCTGCTTTGCCAGTGAAATAAGACAAACTCTCCCAGTTTTTATTCTTTCTCATCAGTGTTATGCACTGTGTTAACAACAAAAGTAGCTGACTGGGGAGAGGTGGCTTTTCTTTTTAGTCATGGTCTTCACTCAAGGTGACTTAAGCAACATGGTTGATCTCAGCAAAGTCCTGTCACTTTAGGAGGAAAAAATATAATATGACTTGGGTCTGCTCTCCAGGCATTGGGGAAAAAAGTCGTTTTCCTTAAGCCAGACTAAAGTTAACTCTGCTCTTAAAAAAGAAAACATTTTCTTTAAAGATTTTTTTTTATTAGAATTGATATGTGGAAGGGATTATGTTCAATTTATCTAAGAAAATAATTGAACATGTCTAGACATCAGATCCTTAGCATCTTTGTTGTGGAAAATAAATTTAGAATGGACTTAGGTAGTAGGCTTATGCTTAATATGTTTGTCTTATAAGCAAGTGAAGATTGTTAACTTCAAAAAGTAGTATTAACTGTGGCTGGCCAGCTGCAGGCAACCTGTTCAACAAACCAGAGTCTATAAAGAGAGAACTAACTATGAAAAAAATAGTATTGACAGGCGAGGAGGGGAATTCTAGTTATATATATCTAAAATAATAAAGCCCCAAGCTATAGACTTCTTCTAAGCCTGGATCTTGTCACTGAGTGAGACTGGCTTGTAGTGTATCAGAGTTGGTGAAGTCTTCCATCTCATTGTCTGTTCCTTTATCTGTTCTTCATCTCATGACCCTCCCGACTGACTTCAATAAGGTTATAACCAGAGGTAAGTTACAATAACATCTGTATGCAGTGCAGATTGGCTTCACAATACTGGCCAGATACTCCCTGATAGCTCTGTGGAAGACAGTTTAACCCCTCATGAAAAAGAAGGAACATACAGCATTATAACAGAAAAAGCAATGAGAAATGTATAGGTTATAAAGGTCATGAAATAAAAGTATGTTCTCATAGGAGGTTAAATATATTTCCTAAAATGGTATAAAGAAAAAGATAGCAACCTTTTTGTTTGGTTAAAGGCAGCCCTATCCAGAAGTAGGCAAACACACCACTGACGAAGTCCCTCGAGGAACATAAGCAGTTATCGGAAGATCCGAGAATGATACTCTTTTCCTTCAAATTATTCAAATAGTACCCACTTAGGCTTTTTTTGTAGAGAAGAATTTTTTCTGCCTTTTGATCATTTGCAGGGGACTTGTCTTTCATACGTGGCCATAGCTTTCCCTCTGCCCATGAGCGTTGCCCGCGGAGACCCAGGCCAGCGCGGCAGGCTCCCCTCTGGAGCCGCGTGGAGAGCTGGTTTAGTGAGATGAGAACGTTGGCTCTTGGCACGGAAGTAGCTGGTGTTCTGCACCACAGCCTCTTCTGGATGTGGACCACGCCGGTCCCAGGACTTGTGTCACCATAGAACTTGTGTAACTTGTTTTGAGCTCAACCTTGTGCTGTCCCCAGACAGTCGCCCTTGCCTGTCCCCTACACACAATGATTTCCCTCCTTTGGATCATTCAGACACTCTTTCAGGGGACCCAAAGGACAAGGAGTTGAGGATTTTCCCTTTGGCTCACCCAGGTAAAGACTAGAGGAGGGAGAAAACAAAAGCATCACTTGCTCCTTCCTTGATTGGACTCAGGGAGGGGGCAGAAAACAAAACCATTATCATTATTGGCCTATTTTCTTTCAGTCATTTACTCAACACATTTTAAAATTTTAAAGGGAATGTTGTCATTGCTGATTGCAGCTCGCTTAGTTTATTTGAAGGTGTTGTCTTCTTTGACTTTTAATGCAAAATCTCTCTATTTTAGCTGGTTCCTCTCATTCAAAAAAAACAACGGGCTCCAAAGCATCAGCTTCACCATCTACTTCCTCCACTTCATCTTTTCTCAAAACTTCAAAGGAGATAGTTTCTAGCAAAACAGGGACGGTGGGAACCACAAAGGGCAAGAAAAAAACTGGCAAGCGGCCCACGTCTCGGCCATCCACAGATGCAACCACTTCTGGGACGTCCGACCTTAAAGGAGAGCCTTCGGAGACCAAGGTGGAGAGCCTCAAAAGCGAGCAGCCTGGCCCTGGGGCCGAGGAGCCGAGCACAGGCAAATCCAAGTCTGAAGTCCCCCCGCCTCCGGGGGCCCCTCCGCCTCCTCCGCCTGCCCCTCACCTTGTTCTGGAAGATCAGTGCGATTTTGCCTCTGACACTCCTGTTGTCCTGGTCAGCGATGGAGCCGACCTGCCTGTCCCTGCCTTAGACCCAAGTCAGCTTCTCTGGACTGAAGAGTCGACCAACAGAACCACTGTCCACGCAGGCCCTGGCTTAAGTGTTAGCAGAGAAAATGCAAAATGGTGAGTCGGGGCCCCAGCCCCTTATTCCCTCTGTGTTCCCTACGAAGCTGAGTACTAAAGATCACTAAAGCATTCTGCTGGAAACAAGGAACCTGCTTTGATTTCTTTTGTAGTTTAATCTAGTGATTGTTAGATCAATACACAGGTCATCCAACCATTGGTTTTTCATGGCCCTGCTCCAGGAATGCCACGGGCTGCTGGAGACAGTGACCTGGGCCTTTGAAGGACATTTAGAGCTGCCTGGTCACTGCTCAGCAGTCCTTTTTCCTTTCACTAAGCAGTTCCCTTCTCTTTCCTTGCCGTGGTTATGTTAAATCTTTACCACTTGTCTCGGTTGCTCATCCACTCCTGCTACCTTCATTTCAACAAGTTATTCAGCCTCCTCCCTCTCCAGGAAAATAAAAACCATCAGGATAGAACCCTATCAAATTCCAGCTCCTTCTTCTCCAGCATCAGAGTGGCTCCATTTCTTGCTTCTTTAATTCCCCACCCAACTAAATGTTATCTCCTCTGTGGGGCCTTGCGATGCTCATCCAGACAGAATTGGTTATTGCATCTACTCTACCCTGACAGCACTTTTTCCTACCTGAGGGACAGAATGAACCAACATGTCTTACTTACCTCTGTTTCCCCAGCAGCCAGTACAGAAGTTGGTATGCCATAGGCATGCCCAAGCCAGAAACCTGGAATTCATCCTAGGGTCCTCAGTCTCCTTTGTTCACTGCATCTAATTATTCACCAAGTCCTCTGAATTTTCTACTTAAAGGTAAATAAGCCATGTTAGCTCTCCTGTCCCACAGGTAAGAAGGGAGGGCTGTCACAGTGTATAGTAGATGCCATAACCAATTCTGTCTAGGGAAGGCTGGGACATCTTAAATCCAGCCTCTTTTCTCTTGTTTTTAAGAATAAAATCAAGTTCACTCTTCAACTCATTTAATTTAATGTTTCTTCTTCCAAGAAAATTTTAGTTGTGTTAAAACAGAAATTAGTACATTGATTTAAATTGATTTGTACCAATAGACTAAAATACTAACTTTATTCAAATACTGATAATAATCTGCATTTATTGAATACCTATTTAATGTCAGGAACTCTCAGTTATTAAATTCACATAGGACTTCCTTGAAATATTTCTGTTTAATAGGTGAAAAAACTGATGCTGAGAGAAGTAAATTTTGCCCGAAATTACCCAGGTAGCAAGTGGCAGAGCCAGAACGCAGACCTAGAGTTGCACAGCAGATTCCATGCCCTAAGTAATTTTAGAAGTTTCCGAAGTAGTTGCTTTCACTTCTTCTGCTATTTTGTGTATGTGTGTGTTCATTTCTTGTTGTTTGTTTTTGTTTGTTTTTATCATCTTGAGCACCATCATTCAAAGGAAAGCCAAGGGATGATAAATAAATGTTAAATTGCAAATTATTTGTTTGCCATGTTAATAAATGCTATGGGAAAAGCAGATACTGAAATGAATGGTTATGGTATCCCTCATACTTCCAGCACTTAGCAAATGTCTTTATTTATAGTGAGTGTTTTCCAGCTTCAAAATCAATTCCAACCTTTAGACCTAAACAGCCACTCGTTCAGCATATATTTTTGCTTGCCTTCTGTGTGCTGGGCAGTGTACCAAGCACCAAAGATACACAAGTGAGCAAGGCATTATAGTTAACACTATTTCTTACCAAAATAATATCCAACGTACGTGAGGGGGCCCGTATCCAAAGGTGGAGTCCACTGCCACACACACTGAGGGAGGACACTGTATTGCACTAAGCTCCAGGCTGCGCGCTGGGGCCTAATGTCAGGCTTCAGCCCAAGTATTCGCAGGACTGTCAGGCAAAAGGGCTGAGCATCTGTTCTGCATTTCCACTGGGACTGTGATCAGAGAGAGCGAGCTTAGGACATAATTAGACATCGAGGTTTGTATAATAGATTTTCCTGTCGCTCAGGGTAACCACCATGCTTTCCTAGAAGAGGGCAGAGAGATTTTCTTCATATATTCTTCAAAATAAAAAAGTTAAATTGCAGTTCATCCCACAGGGATGGTTTGCGTTTGCTCTCGAGTTAATGAGCCTGGAATAAGCAGTCTCCCAAATTTCCTTCCAAATTCTTTCTTGTGTTTTGAAGCGGATATCTGAATTAGAATTCCTGGCGCTTAGTCACTTGCTTTACTTAGAACTCTCCCCAGTTATGTTTAGTCAACGAGTGTGTGAAAATCCTGTCGTCTTATGAAGGGGCTTCTGTTTGGAACACAAATATCAGGACTTTAAAGAAGACAAGTGGCCATGTGTAAAAATACCCACCTCTGTTCACACGTTGCAGGGTAGTAACTGTTTGGTAGATTTCTGTCCGTTGGCAGCTTCGTGAGTACCGTGTGTGTCTGGTGTAATTGAAGGCAGAAGCTAATAAGCCCGTCTGGAGCCCATACTCAAAAGGGACTTGAATCTGTTCAGTTCATTTCCACAAACATTGGTGGAGTGCACTGTATTGTCCAGTGTGCCCGGGAACCTTCGAGAAATGTAAGACCCAAGCCATGAGTTGACTGATATAAATGTGGAGTGTAATATTTAACAGTAAATATAACCCATAATATATTAACATAACTTATAATATCAAGTGTAAATAAAATATAATATAGCATAACATTTAATAGGTAGACTAAGAGACTGAAGTCTGGATTCTAGACTGGACTTGCTTCCATGGTTGGGCAACTCACACATGATAGGACAATTATAAGTTATAAATGTATGCAGAAGTCTTTGAAAACTGTAAAACATAAAATACAAATAAGGTTAAAATAGTAATCAATAACATAATAAATTACTGAATCATGACATGAGCAAATACCAGGGCTTAACTCTAAAGTATCTTCTGTTCTGCTCTTCAGAATGTGTTACTAATTGGCACATCTTTTCACTGTGCTGTGGTCATCCACAGGGGCAGACAAGAATGGCCTCCAGTGGCAATCGGCTAGAAATCCTGACTGTGGAAAAGATTTCCCATAAAATAGATCTCCTCTCATTTCAAATGAGATTTCACACTATGGAAACAGTATGGTGTTTTCTCAAAAAAACTAAACATAGAATTACCATATGATCCTGTAACTCCTGTGTACATTGCCAAAAATTTGAAAGGAGGTACTCAAACAGATATTTGTACACTGATGTTCACAGCAGCATCATTCACAATAACCAAAAGGTAGAAACAACCCAAATGTTTGTCAACTGATGAATGGATAAACAAAATGTGGCCTATACATAAAATGGAATATTATTCAACCCTAAAAAAGAAGGAAATTTTGACACATGCTACAACATGGATGAACCTTGAAGATATACTAAGTGAAATAAACCAGACACAACGGGGCAAATGCATAATTCTAATTATACAAAGCACCTAGAACAGTAAAATTCATAAAGACAGAAAGAATGGCAGCTGCCAGGGGCTGGAGGGGAGGAATAGGAGGTTATTATCTAATGGGGAAGATGGTGGTGACAGTTTTACAGCAGTGTGAATATACTTGGTGCAACTGAACTGTGCACTTAAAAATGGTTAAATATTATGCCATTTTTTACATAATAAAATGTATATTTTACACAATAAATGAAATTTTATATCTCCCCCTTTGAAAACAAGTATCCTGGCTGTTGAATTTTTCGAATATGTGAAAAATGAGACTTTTGAAAGCACTTGGGCCTGTAACCACAAAGAATTTTCAATACCTCAGATTTGGGCAAAGTTTGTTTTTATTATACAGAGAACTGGTTTTGGCTTTTTGTAGTTAATGAGGACAGCAAGCACATGTTTCCCACTAAACGTTTTTTCAGAAGTGTGACACCCAAATTTGGATTCTTTTATTTATATCAGAAAGCGATTTGAGGATCTTCTCCGTCTTAAAATGAAGATTACGTTGTTTTCAATATATTTTTTATGTAAAGTATATATTTTTTACTCCAGTTGATGAAGACTGGAAAGCTTTGTATATTTATAGTAACTTTATATTTTATTTTTAAACTACAGTTGATATTCAGTATTATATTCATTTCAGGTGTACAGGATAGTGGTTAGACAATCCTATGCTTTACAAAATGGTCCCCCGATATTTCTTGTACCCATCTGACACCATACATAGTTATGCAATATTACTGACTATGTTCCCTGTGCTGTACTCTACATCCCCAGGACTATTTGTAGCTACCAGTTTGTACTTCTTAATCCCTTCGCTTTTCACCTAGTCCCCCTACTTCCCTCCTCTCTGTATCTATGAGTCTGTTTCTGTTTTGTTTGTTCATTTATTTTGTTTTTCAGATTCCACATATAAGTGAAATCATATGATATCTGTCTCTCTCTGCCTGACTTATTTTACTTAGCATAACACCCTCTAGGTCCATCCATGTTGCAGACAGTAAGATTTCATTCTTTTTATGGCCGAGTAATATTCCATTGTACATATGTGCTTTAAACCAGAGACTCTTACCAAGTTCGGTAATAGAAATGATTGCATCCTTACACATAAACTTCTTCTAAAAAGTCCGTTTAACTCCCACGCTTTCCACCCCACGTTTTTAATATAGTCCTAAGACAGGCAAGTTTATAAATGGAAAAGCTAGGCTCAGAGAGGATGCATTATTATTTTTTTTTTCTGTTGACACACTGGCTGTGATGAAAATAGGCTTAATTCATATGTCAATGAAAGATGTACTTTTGCGTGTCACTCCATTTCCAGGCGGTGAGTCCTGCTTGTCCAGGCCCCCTGGGGGTGGGGAAGGCCAGTAAGTGGTGACTGAGGTGCACCGTGCCGAGTGCTGCAGCGGGGTTGTCCTCAGGCCACCGTGGGAGAAGGGAGAAAGGAGGTCAGGTGCTCGGGAACTTCTAGCCCCTTGTTCTTCCCACGGAACCCCCGTCGCTACGGAAAGACTAATGCAAAATATAGTTGTACTGTACTCACGTGTGACTGCGTCAGACCCAGCTAGTCAGTCGCCTTCCCGTTGCAGATGGAGTCTAACACTTTGAGCGCCGGGCACGCCGCTCGCCCGCGGCAGTGACAGCGGCCGCTGTGCTTGTGCCTTCGCCAGCCCGAAGGTGCTCACACAGCCAGCACTCCTCAGGGCGGGGCGTCCCCCAGGGTGGCTCGGAGCGTCACGCCACCCCTGTGTTTCTGTGCCCTTAACAGTTTCGCAGCCAAAGACGAGCTGAGAAAGGCAGCACCTCAGCTGCTGGCTCCTGGGCTGATGGGGGACTCTTCCGAATCCTTCAGTGCCCCAGAGGACGAAGGCCACAGGGAGTCCCGGGCCACCGACTCGGACTCCGATGGGCCCATCCTGTACACCGACGACGACGACGATGACGACGAGGAGGGCGAGGACGGCAGTGGAGAAAGTAAGACTGGCTCCCAGGAGGGAGGGAGGTGGGTGGCGGACAGAGCAAAAGCCGCATGGGGAACGAGACATCTGATGTGCCCTTCCCCTGCTATTCCGTCCTCGGGTCAGAGACGAGTGCGGCCTTAGCTTTAGCTTTCGGTGCCAGGCCTTTCCTGAGGACGGGTCCATGAGGGGCGGGTGGCGTCTGTTGGGCACATCCGCACATTTGTGTCTGTCCGGAGAGGCAAAGCTTTCTGAGGACGGAGGCCTTTCTCAGGACGATCAGACAGCCCTTCCCGGGGACCTTTCTTGAATCACTGCAGGATCCCCTGGGTTCCTCGTGGGAACTATTGGAGAGTTTCACTTATTTTTATGCTGCGGTTTAAGGAGAGGGGAGGGAGGAATGAGTCAAAAATGACACATATCTTTTAAGAATTAAAAACAGTCACTCATCCACAGTAGGTGATTGTATGCTGCCCGGCCCGCGTGGCTCAGCGGCTGATCATCGACCTAGAATCCGGGAGATCGGGGTTCGATTCCTGGTCAGGGCACATGCCCGCGTTGCGGGCTTGATCCCCAGTCGAGGGCGTGCCGGAGGCGGCCGATCAGTGACTCTCTCATCATTGATGTTTCTCTCTCTCTCCCCCTCTCCCTTCCTCTCTCTGAAACCAATAAATATTAAAAAAAAAAAAAATGTATGCCTTCTAGGAAGGAATAAAAGTAAAGTAGAGAAAGCTAACCATTTATGTGTAACTTAGGGAACTGGGAAGGGCCTTTTTTTTTTTTTAATCTTCTAAGCAGGATCACTTGGGAGGGATTCACTGTAGAGTTAAGTTTCTAGATTATGAAAAGTTATTGGCATATTAATGATTAAACATCAGTTTGTCAGATTTCCTTCAGTTTGTACTGAACAACAACAACAGATTATTATCCATGTGATATTAACTATCACCTATAGGGATGTCAGGGTTCTCTGGGTAATTTAGGATTAAAACTTTAGTATCAGATGTGGACTTTTGCCAGAGTGGTTGCTGAGTAGAGGAAGAGGGAAGACAAGGATTTCCTGTACAGTGTAAGTAAAGGGGCTAAGTTTATAAGACTTGAAAAAGAAAAGAAAGAAAAGGCATTATGCAATCAATGGTTTCCATGATGCACCATCTCAGCAAAATAAACTTCACATATCACTTTCCAAATGATGAGGTGATGCTTCCAAGTTTTTCATGGTGGCTCAACATTTTTCAGAACATTTTAAAAAATAGTTCTCCAGTTTTCCAAAATGAACTACATTCGACTAAAAACTTTTCCTCCCCTTAAGCTAATTAAAATTCCACTCTTGCATGTGGACAAAGAATTAGGCCTGGACTCAGTTTGAAGTCCATGCCACCTGTAACCTGAGTGCCACCTGCTAAGGGCCTCTTTCTCTGCATTTCTGCCTTTTCTAATCCTCAGGTGCTTTGGCAAGTAAAATCCGTCGAAGGGATACCCTTGCTATCAAACTTGGCAACAGACCGTCCAAAAAAGAATTAGAGGACAAGAACATCTTGCAGCGGACATCTGAAGAAGAGAGGCAGGAAATCCGACAGCAAATTGGAACCAAGCTAGTCAGGTAATGGCTGAAATTTTAGTGCTGCACTGACTAATGCATGCTTTCCCCCAACCTGAGGTCATTATGAATTCCTTGGGCATACCTGGCCTATCCGGTCTTTGAAAGTTGGTCCTGGATGGTGAACCACTCAGAGAACCTGCACTTCAGTCCAGCTCATCAGTGGCATTGAGGTGGCCAAAGCCTGATCCAAGTGTTGACAAACTTTTCCTATAAAGGACCAGTTTGTAAATATTTTAGGCTTTGCTGGCCAGAAGGCCTCAGTTGCAGCTGCTCAACAAAAGCAGCCATAAAGAGTATATAAACAAATGAGTGTGGCTGTATTCCACTGTAACGTTATTGATCAAAATAAGAGGCAGGCCTAGCTCATGGACTCAGCAGTGTTCCATGGTTTCCAGGCAGCTCGGGCCTGTGGGCACTGAGACTGTGAAAATAGTAGTTAGCTTCAGTGGTCAGCTCCATCCAAGACAGGTAACCACAGCCCCGATATCGAAAGTTCCCTCTTTTAACTTCAAATAAGTGATCATCTGACTTCTCTTCCTGCCTCCAGCTCTTGTATGATTTTTATTTTTGCCACTAGTGACTTTGGAAATCCATTGAACTGGTTGTTTTAATAGAAATGAGCAGTGAAGCTCTCTTTTTTATTATCAGTCCAAGCCTGTTTAAGTATTAGTTATTTTTCTGACTTCTCTCACTCTGCATAAACAGCAGGGTGGGTAAATTGGGAGAAGGGAACATTCCGGAAGACCAGAGCAGGATTTGTATAACTGCTGTATAGGGGCAAAGAACCAGGAGCCATTAATTCTCACTTTTGGGAGAAGTCCAATACTTACCTTCAAGTTACTATTTTAATTATTTATAAAACATCAGTATTTGGAGAAAGAGAAAAGGTCATTCTAGAGGGAGGAAACTCCATAAACAAAGGAAGGGCCCAGCCGGGCGTGGCTCAGCAGTTGAGCATTGATCTAGGATCCAGGCGATCGGGGTTCGANTTGATCTAGGATCCAGGAGATTGCGGTTCGATTCCTGGTCAGGGCACATGCCCGGGTTGCAGCCTCAGTCCCCACTAGGGGACATGCAGGAGGCAGCCAATCAGTGACTCTCTCATCATTGATGTTTCTATCTCTCTCTCCCCTTCTCCTTTCCTCTCTCTGAAATCAATAAAGACATATTTAAAAAAAAAAAAAAAATCAAAGGATGGTGTGTTTGGGGGGTGACATAGTATGGATATGTCATACAGGATACATGGATGCACAGATGGCACATCAGGCTGGCATAGATGGTCACTTGTTTTTTTGTGGGCTCAATTACTTAAGTTAATTTTGAGGAAGCTCTGAGGAAGATTAAACTTTAACAAAATTTTTGATGAGTTGTTTAAAATATTGATTTTAATTCTTAATACAATTTCTGTCACAGCCATAAAAATTTAGAATTGATAGTATCTATATTAAAATTACCTGTCGTGTATATTAGTTTAATTTGCACACAAACTCAGCCTACATTTAGAGAAAGGTTTTGTCTGTGATTAACAACAAATTAGTAATGTAAACAAGACCAAAAACAAAGAAAGGGTTCACAGGACTTTCAGCTAACAAATAGTTAGCTACTAATCACAAGTAAGCCTGGCTTGTCTTGAAGGCATATGGGAAGGGCCTAGGTATCTCAAGAGAACTATATATAATGGAATTCATTTGAGCTCAAAAAAGCACTGTTTCATTTAAAACACTATGTGGTGTAGATTGGATCTTCTCCCAAGTTGATATGAACTCTCAAGCAGCAGCCTTTTGTAGATGTGAATGACTGTGTGTGAATTAGCCAAAAAGCTAAGCTGTTTTAAGAGACCAAAATGTGCAGTGGCCCAAACACACACTTCCACAAGTTTATTCTTTTTCACATAAAAGTCCAAAGGTAGGTGGGCTGTTCAGCATGGCTGGAAGCATTGCTCCTTGCAGTCCAGCCAGGTACCCAGGTTCCTTCTGTCTTGTTGCTCTGCCATCCCCATGGGTACTCTCGTCTACATGATCCTAGCCGGCTCATTGACCATGTTTAAGTTCCAGCCTGTGGAAGAAGGAAGGTAGAGAACATACACACACCATCTTTTTAAGGGTAAAAAGTAGAAATTACAGACACCATTTCTGCTCACATCCCATTGCAAGAACTTGGTCTTACAGCCACACCTTGCTGCTCAGGAGACAGAAGGCTGTAGCTGGGGTGGATGGGGGCCGGAGGGAGGGGGTCACAGCTAAAGCTTGGGGGATTCCGTTTCTGAAAGGAAGAGAGAGAATGGGTAATTGGGGGTAGTTAGCAGTCTCAGCCACAATCTCTAGTCTCCAAACTAACAGAAAGGACACTTGTCAGTTTAAAAATTGATTTTTATTTCACAAAACATGAAAAACTATAGCTCTGTAGTTTTATTCTGTGTCTCCCACTAAGGGTGCCTTGTTTGTAACCTGCAGTATATCCTTTTTGTCATCATAGGAGACTTAGCCAGAGGCCCACAACTGAGGAATTAGAGCAAAGAAATATCCTGAAACGTGAGTATCCTGTACTATACAGTGATCCGTTGACTAACCATTAACAAGCTCACTCTAGACATGACCCATTTATCAGTAGGAAACCTTAGTATATTTATTCACAAAGGATTGAAATGGCCCAATCATGTCACATTTATGTGTCATCGTTTACATAATTTAAAAAATAATTTCTTGAAATTTGTATTTCATTTTGTGGCTTTCAGCCTGACATCCCCCAGACCAGAGTCATGGTTGTGACAGTTGTTTTTAAGAAAGATGAAATATAGTCCATGTATTCTTTCACTCAACAATTAAATAAAAGAAAATCCTCTGGTCAGCTTGCAAATACATGTCAAAGAGAAGGCCAGAGAATCCACAAGGAAATGAATCAAACCTTCCTATATTATTATTAATAATACAATTTGTTGCCAGGTTTAACAGATGATTCTATTTAAAACAGAATCCTGGTAAAAACAATTTTTCAATCCATTTCATTTCAATGCATTTCATCTTCCCTTGTTATGATAACTGTTTCCCTCTTGAGTTATTTATGATTTCTCAGCACTTATGGAGCTCTCCTTCCATTTTCCAACTTTATTTTCTCATTTCATTTTTTTTCTCTATTTTCTTTGACTCGACTTTTCACTCATGAGTCCAGTCATATTTAAAGTATTAAAGTTCATATGTTAAAGCTATATAACGAATGGAAGCAGTTTGTCGTCCTATAGTGTATCAATGTGGTTACTAACTACAGTGAGTTAAGTAATGGATATTTTAAAATTCAGCCTGTAGTTTTATATATTATTAGCCCAGTTTCCAAAGAGCTTTTTGTTGTATGAAATATCAAAAAGCAGGGATGGGCCAAACTCCGGATAGTGCTACCATAGTAACGAGCCACTGGCATGCGCTGCATCTTTTTCAACCAAGCTTTTAGGGTCAAGTTGGCCTGTCCGGGTGACCCCCATTCTCCAATCTGAATTGTTTGCTTTCTTGAAGGAAAGAAGGGTTTTAATAGCAGAGTTATACTACAGTTACTATTACTAAGACAGTTCATCAGTGAGGGCTGAAGAGAGAGAGGAATTGCCAGTCTGTGGGATTTTCTCCCTTGGAAAGTTTTGTGTTTTTTTCCTGGCTCTTTGTGAGTATTACTGGGATAGAACCCAAGAAAGGACTTAAATGACCATCAATGTATATAAGAGCCAGTTTGGAGAGGGAAAAAGTCATGGCCAGAAAAAAAAGAAAAGGTCTTAGCTTTCTAAAATAGGAGAAGAGCGATGTCTAATTTAGACAAAACAACACCAGAAAGGCTCCTGCCTTTTTGTTTGAATTGCCTTTTAGATAAGCTCAAATGCAGATCTTGAGCTCCTAACACACAGATTATTTCTTATTGGATGCCTGATGCAATACCTAGAAAAAAAGGAAGAGCGAATTGTGGGCAATTTTTTCCTGCTCCTGGGAGACAAATAGTGCCAGACCACGTTGGTGTTCGGTTATTTGACAAACTGTGTCATAGATCTAGAAATTTATCCCACATTGATCTTAAGTGCTGTGTTGGCTCTTATCCCCCATTTTCCTGGAGGTTCGGAAAAGAGTGAAACGCCAAAGTCAACTTCAGATCTGACTTCAGCCCTTATTTACTTCCTTTTCAGTTTGGTTAAGCATGCTTTTTCTGGAAACAAAAGACACATTTGCAGTCCGGAGAGGCAGATAACTGGCCTATGGTCTCCTGACATAATGTTGTATGGCCAAGGGAAGCAGAAAAGAGGACTGGTGGAGGTCATCTAGAGCATACGTGTGACACTTTCTTCTGTCCCTGCTTGCCTCTCGGTTCTTCCACGTAGATGGCTCTTGTTTGATGTTTCCTCACTAGCTTTTGTTCAAAAGCAGTATGATTGTCTATTTGAAGAAAAGTCTATACGTGATGTGGTGTGGTTTTTAAGGACATTTATTTTAACTAGGTCACTTTTTCTTGACAAATTAAGGAACGAATTTACAGAATAAAACATTCAGCAGTTCTCAGATCCAAGTCCACTAGTTTAGTAAACATGAGTCAGATGATAGCTCTAATTGTTTAGTAAACATGAGTCAGATGATAACTCTAATTGGAACACAGGACAAATTTTATTTCTTCATTTCATTCCTGCTATCATAACCTATTTTATTTCTTTGCTATTTCAGTGCATCTAGCATTTTAAAATACATACAAAGTTATATTTAGTTGTACATTTTTGAACCAGTTCCTTAAAATTGTTAAAATGGAAAGCACGTTTTGGTGCTTAAAAGGTCAACTTTTGCTTATCAGAAAAAAGTGATATATATGGAACATCTTTTCAGGGCAGGGATAAAAGATAAAAATCATCTCATACTCTTTAGCTGTGACTGTAATTCCATTTGTGTCTTCTATAGGGAATAAATATATTAAGGCTTTGAGTTCTGCATATAACACTTTATATGAAATTTTTTAATCATACAGAAAAGTCAAAACCATTTTACAGTAAACACCTATATATCTACCACTTATATTCTACCATTAACATCTACTTTATCACATCTTGCTTTATCACATATCTGTTCATCCATTGATCCATCTCTTTTGGAAGGGGGGCATTTCAAGTAGGTTTAGAAATGTATTTTCATTTCTTAAAAACTCCCATACAGAAACATGTAAAACAGCAAAAAGAGAAACAAATCCACAAAAATATTTGGCCTTTTTAAATCCCATTTTATCTTAATTGATGACTCGAGAATATAATACTCCAGTTGCTGGTATTTCCGTGTTTGTCTCCGTTGTTTTAGCTCATCCACAAATGTTCTGGGCAACACGCACTAGCTAGGCAGCTTTCCTGTAGTGCCCTCCCTCCTCCCAGGCCTCCTGTGTTGCTTGTGTTTATGGCCAATGCTTCCTGTGGCTATTCTGAAATATCCACCCCCTCTGCTCTGATGAAAGTTACTGAGCGCAAGATTTATCAATGGGCCGCATCACTTCCTTCATGAATATTCCTCCAGTCTGTTTCAAGGGACCAGAAAGGTTTACGTCCGACTTTATAATTAGCCCTCTAATAAATAAATATTTAAAAACTCAGTGAATTTTTTAAAACTAAGTTTACTAGTTTAACCTTGACTCTTTGTAAGAGATTTTACAGTGACTATTTAATAAGATTCAGAAGAACAGTGATGTTGGCTTCCCTCCACCTCTAACCCTCTTCCCCTAACTTGTTAGAAGCATAATTTCAAATATGGGGAATGTAAGGAAGGCAGCTTCTGATGCTAAAAAAGAATTCCCAAATGGTATAATGGTGTTTATTTCACTTCCCTAACTGCAATAGGCCCTTCTTTTTTTAAAACTTAACTGGCTGTCACGTAGATGTACAATATGCTTAATAAGGCAAAATTATCTAATATTCCCTAAGAAGTGACATTTTGTGTATTTCATGAAAATTGGAGCATTAGTTTTGAGTATATTGGCTATCCATTTTTTTTGTCTTTGAAAAGTACCTTTAAAAACATAGCATAATCACTGTATGGGAAGAATTGACTAAAATGTTTTAAGGGTGATAATTTTCTTTTTATTAATAATGTCAGCAGAGGATTGATCTTGTAAAACCCTAATTTGAATGGCTTGAACCATAAGTTTGGTGTTTGGATTGTACAATCCACATGCCTTATCCAACTCACAAACGGTAATTATTTGACCCTAAGGATGTATTTTAAGGATACCTATAGTCATTTCGTGGGAAGAAATCTGAATCATAACCAAATTTTTTTTACACTTAATAAAAGCATACTAACTAGTTGGTTTCTTGCAGGATGATTTCAGTTTACGTTCACTCTTTGTCGAAAAACCAAACTAATCATTCTCTTTTTTATAAATTAACATGAGTGTTTCAGAAGACTGTAGAGTCTTTTCCCTGTCGAGATAAGGAAAATTATTAAAGATTTAGCATGTTCGAGTAACAAATTCAGATGCTGCAAATATTGAATGCTAATATTTTATTAATGATAAAAATAATCTTAGTGGTAAGAAGTCTATTTGAATTTTAAAAATATAATTATCTTTTCAGAGAGGAGACTTCTTGTTCACCCTTTTAGCTGAGCTTTTATACAGTGTGATTTTTCCTTCAATAGAATTCATAACAGCACTTTCTAAAAGATAATCTCCTGTAAGTATTAATACCCAATGAGTAAAATCGGTGCTCATTTATTGAACAAATGATGAGCTACAGGAAGCAACAGAGAAAAATTCATCAAGTAAGCAACCATTAAACCCGAAGGGATGTTTATTTCTTTAAAAGTCCTGGACATTTTTCTCTTAATCCCATCTGTTGGGCAGCATTCATTTACATTGGCCATTAAATTGTACTACTTGGTGAAGTACTAGAGGCAAGAGAAGACTTTGGAAAGTCACAGTCATAAGAAAATAAATCATCTCCACCAAAAGTACACCATAACCCCATTCAGAACATTCTGGCTCAAAAGCAAAGTCCAAAGAAATGCTTACATTCTGCTTCTATGGAAACCAAAGCAGACACATCAAGTATTTTAGTTGGATTTGAATGGAGACCAGCAACTCAGACGTGCATCAGATGGTTCTAATTTGTTCTTTTGATATGTCTCGGATTTTCACATGGCAGCCAGATCCAGAAGTAAATTGTTCTCTGAATTCTGATAATCTGCGCTTGTAAGCCCGTGAGATGATCAGCAGTGCAAGGCTGTCACCAGAATATGGACACTCTTGTGATTTTTCCCAAATAGAACAAGAAGCTGGGAAGCAAAGAGGTTTACGATTGGTAAATAAGGTGGTCATATAAGGAAAAAATAATACATGTGTATATATACATATATAAATTAATGGTACATAGACATATGTAAATTCATGATTGACTTATCTGCAGAATCTTTTGACAGCTTTATAAAGGTGTTGGGGTTTTAATCAATATCCGTTACAGTCAAATAATTGTGCCTGATCTACTTTTCCGATTATGGAATCACTTATAGTAACTAAGTCTTCATGTCTCCCCCCCACTGACAAACAGAGAAGAATGAAGAGGAAGAACAGGAAGCAAAAATGGAACTTAAACGTAGACTCAGCAGAAAGGTGAGGAAACAGTGTTACCGAGCGTGTGTGTCTTCAGATAAACTTCATGTTTAAATGCAGATCAACTCTCTCCATGTAAATCTGAATTTAAAAATAATTACTCCTGTTTGTCTACCAAATAATGACAGAAACTAAAATCATTGTAATGAATACATCATGAGCTATGTTTATGTGTATAATTACATATATTGATTTTGACATTAGCAATCGAAAGTTTTAAAGTACATTTGATGATTATGAAAATAACACAGTCTGTGTAAAAAAATTTTTTAATGCAAAAGGGAATTAAAAGAAGAAAAAAAATATCACACAGACTTCTCCCATTTAGAGGTATCCATTATTAATAGTTCAATGTTTAGTTTTTTAAAATGCTCACGGTTTCCACGTAGTCTTGGAAATATTAAATAAATATTTTGTTACCACTGAAGTTTTGCCACTATTCTGTATCGGGGCCACGTGAGTAATTTTTTAAGTGAACTTGATCTTAGCCTGCCTACTGCAGTGCTACCCAAGTTGACAAATGGCGTAACTCAGACAATTGTTTCCACCATTTATGAAAATATAAATCTGACGCCAGAGCTATCACTTTTTTCTGTGTTAAAATAATAACAGTCTGGAAAAATTAAGCACTATCAGAGCTTATATTTCATCATAAATCTCTGCTCAGTAATTGTTCAGATATACCTTTCACCTCTGGACAAGGCAAGATGAGTAAAGCAAGACATGACTTCTGCAGTGAGGGTGTGGCCTGACCCACGTTTATCGGGCTGGCCGGGGAGTCCACGTGGAAGCATTCTAAGGCAGGTAGAAGAAACACTCCTTTCCCTTGGAAAAGTCAGAGACTGTACTTTGAGAGGTTTTGGTTTTGTTTTTTAGGGGAAAAATTCGTTTATTCATCTGTGTTCTTCTTAAAGACCCTAAATGTCAAATAGTGATCAAGCTGAGAAAGACTCTGCAAACTGAATTTCTAGAGATGGCTCTTCGGGCATTCAGTGGCCATTAAGTTCCAGCTACAGATAAGATGTAGCCCCTCCTCATTGCTCCAGGCTCACCCCTGACACGCGTATAGTCTTCTTAATCCAGTTGGGCCCTTCCAGGAGGCAGCAGAGCCTGCCTTACCTCCTGTCCCCATTTGCTTCCTCCATACAGAGCTCCCTGCTGTAGGTGCAGGACAGTTCATGTCACTGTCACCAGCACTGGTCCTGAAGGGCAAGGTGGATGGAGAATTTCTGACCTGTGTGACCCTTGGTCACTGGCCTTTTGGGCAGTCCTCAGAGGCAAGGGAAACCTCCGTAACCCCACCTGTCCTGGAGAGGCAGTGAGAATCTAGCAGTATAGATTAGACGGTCAATGAGAGCACAACAGAACCACTTAGATTACTCCTTCCTTTGTCCGTTGCCCACCAGAGCTTCACGAACCTGGAAGGAACTGAAATGGTCATATCCCAGCTCAGGTGGGCTCAGGGTGCAGACCCAGGCCTTCTAAGAGTCTTTGAATGCCTTGAAGGTTAGAGCGTTGACTGAGTTCAGCTTCTGGTTTTACTTAAGAGGAAACCAAGGCCCTGGAAAGGGGATGTTTTTAACCACAAAAACATTTTTTTGTGATTGTGCTTAATTTTTCCAAACATTGAGCCTATGTAAATAAGGAACGCTTCCACAGAGGACTACTTAGACAGTGGGTAGTCTGGCTATGTACAGAGTGCATATATGGACAGAAAAGACACTGAAAATGGACCCCATAGAAAAAAACAGAGGCCTGGGTTTACCTGTGTGACAATACAGTGACACCTCCCAAGCGAGAAAGACCACAGAAGCATGGACCCCAATAGCAGAGAGTAGGTGATGCCTGTCGACCAGGCGGGCATGTTTCTTTAGTCTCAGAACCATCTCTGCCTTAATCTTGGGCTTGGGAAACGACCAAGAGAGGAAAGCACATACACACAAGGGCTGGGTAGATTAAATAAGACTATAAATTCGAATTTGACAAAGACCACAAGAGGAATCCACAGTATTAGAAGTGTCTTAAATTAAGGTTGCAGCTGATTTTAAGCAGTTAGGGCCCCACTGAAGTGCAGTTCTTCAGAAGGTCCCCCTCCTGCATATCAGCTTTTGTGGCCAAGAGTCAATATCAGATGTGGACCTGGGGCCTTAGCCTCCCATGGAAGAAGGCCATGGACAGACCCTTCACTGGACCATTTCTTTGTCATAACTTTGTGCATTTCTGAGTGTACAGGTTTAATAAAAGTAGAAATCAGGATTTTTATTCTCATTTCTAAAAATTGCAGGACTTTTTGTCTTGATACATAATTCAGTCCCCAAACCAGCCATCCTGTATCTGAAGTTTTGTCATATCTGTGTGGCTTCATGTTCCCTGTGTCAGCGACGACAGGCCCCTTTATCACAATGCCTGGCAAGTTGGAAAAAACAGCATAATGCAGACACTTGCCAAAGACTGTGACCTATCTAAAAATGATGATTTTTATAGTCTCAGAATTAGGGCACTCTGCTTTCTAGTTCTTATTAGAAACTCCCAAGATGCTGCTGCCTCCTTTTTTTCTTTTGATAACTGAAAGTGACCTTATTTAACCTCAACTTTGAAGTTCTCTATGGAAAACTTGCCACCACGAGGCTGTAAATGGTTTACTGAACTGGTCCTTTGTCCCTGTTCTCCTGCAGCTCAGCCTGAGACCCACGGTGGCAGAGCTACAGGCTCGAAGGATCCTGCGGTTTAACGAGTATGTAGAAGTCACCGATTCTCCCGACTACGATCGCCGGGCAGACAAGCCCTGGGCCAGGTTGACACCTGCAGACAAGGCAAGAACTCCAGTGGCTTTAGCCATGATTTCACTTATTTATGATTTTATTGCTTTTCTAAAAGCGCCCACTCACTCATCCCCTCTCGGCCATCTTAGGAAGCTAGATATTACCAATTATCCCAATAATTTTCTACCTTTGATTATTTAAGCCACTTATGTGATATATTTAGTAATATTAATGAAGTTCTTTCAACTAAGCCTCAGGAAAAAACTGTAATTCTCATGGTATCAAAAATACTCGCCAGGTGGTTCATTGGGTGGAGCATCGCCCCATCCACCAAAGGGTTACGGGTTCCGTTCCCAGTCAGAGCACATACCTGGGTTGTGGGTTTGATCCCCGGTTGGGGCGTGTGTGGGAAGCAGCCAATCAGTGTTTATCTCTCACATCAGTGTTTCTTTCTCTTTCTTTCTCTCTCTTCCCCCCCCTTCCTCTCTCTCTAACTATCAATAAAAACATACCCTCGGGTGAAGATTTAAATGATAATAATAAAAAATACTATGTATTCTCAGTGCTATCTCTTGGCGGCCTGTTTTGTTTCAATCTTAGAAATACCTAGTTTCAGCTCAATGACTTCCCATTGTTGGTCCAACACAGCACCATTAGGGCTCCAATCCCACTACATCAACCTACTTCCTTCTGTCCTGTATCTGTCAACAAAATCAGCCCCATTTACACTTACATGAAGAGTTATTAGGCCTAAACTTTGGTTCTTCTTTGAGTAGAAGAGAGTTAAGATTATTGTACATGTGTCTCACTAATATAACATTTGAGAGGGGGGGAAACTTGTTTCCCTCTCGTAACAATCTCAGGAAATCTCTTTAGATACTAAGAGGAAGTAACTCTTGGAATAAAACTGTGGTCATTCTTTAGTGAATTTTTTTAAAATAGGTATTACATTTCTTTAATTGGCTGTAGTAACAACTTGCTGACATACTTTTTCAAGCAACCAGTTCCTATCATTTCACTTCACATTCATTGCCTGTAACTGACTCATCATTTCTAATTACAAACCAGCACACACAGCGCGGAGATCTGAGGCTATTATCTGGATGACGTAGGCTCTGAAGCTCTTTTTATTGGAAAGAGTGGAGGACTCAAAATAAGAAGGCCGATGCCTGAGCCCCATCTTTGTACCTTAATGCCCATTTGATATCTAGAAGGTCACTTGGTCTCCATTTCATCATCTGTGAGATGAAAGTCTTGAAACAGTGTTCAGGTTATCAACTGCTTTGTAACAAACCACCCCAAAACTTGGTGACTTAAAACAGCCATCTTCTTTTGTTCACAATTTTGTGAGCTAGGAATTCCAGAAGGGCTCAGCTCGGCAGTTTGTTTCTGACCCACGTGGCGTCAAGTAGGGAAGTGCCTGGGGTTACAGAGTCCACTTCTGGGATAGCTTCTTCACTAGCACATCTTTACCTTATTGCTCCTTGCTCTCTCTCTGTATCCACCGGGCATCTCTGGAGCCTCTGCTTGAGCCTTGGGTTCCTCGCAGTGTGGTTTCCTGAGGGTGGGCACATTTTTTTTACATGGCAGCTGGCTTGCAAGAAGAAGGAAGCAGAAGTTGCTAGGCCAGTTAAGGGCTACATCCTGAACTGGCACAGCCTCACCTCTGCCGTGTTCTGTTGTTCAAAGCAGTTGTAGGTCTCACGGAGGTCCAAGGCTAGAGAGGTAGACTCCACCTCTTGATGAGGGAATGGCAAGGTCACAGTGCAGATGAGCATGTGGGATGTGTCTTTAAATATTGAGTTGGCTGTCTACATATATGGTCATAAGTGAGTTGTGTTACTAATATAAAGAATGGGTAACACACAATTTACAATTAAATATAAACTATACAGTACTCTTTGTAGATTCCACATCCCGGTTGATTCTCAAAGAATGTTTTCATTGATTTTTGCCAGACTCTTAGATCATAGCCACCTACCATTGAGAATGAGGATTTTGCCTTGTTTCCAAGACTCCTTGAGTGACATTATCTTCTTGCACATAGTAGACTCTCTATACATGAAAATGAGAGGATTAGTAGTCACAATCACAAACTAAAATGTAATGCATTTTTTGAAAGTATCACGGTAATGACATTTTATTGAATATTTACAGTGTACAAAGCACTTTCAAATATGCTCTTAATTGATTCTCATAATATTGTGAGGTATTCTTATCCCCATTTTCCAGATGAGAAAACAGATTTGGAGCAAAGTAACTCACTAAGGGTCACACTGCTATTGAAGGCGTAGGTAAGACTAGATTAGAACCCGTGACTTCTGACTCCGAGTGGACTGCTTTCCACTTCCTCCACCGAAACTCGAATGTTCAAAGGGGAAATTTTAAATGAACATAGAGACAGGATTTTATGCCACTATCCATGTTAAAATACCTCCTTTTAAGGAAGACTTTTTGATAGATGTTAATTGGCGATTAGTATGGAACAGCTCGACTATTTCAGTTCCAGGTACCAAGATTTATAGTGATTAAAACGAAGTATCCTCACAGTCTACCTCACTTGTGCAGCAAGATGTATACTCTTGTCACAGGGGACCCAGGCCCACAAATCTTTCTGCTTACTTCATCTCTTCCAAAAACCAGTAGCAAGAATTGCTTTTCAAAGAAAAAAACCATCCCTGCAATCGCTTCCCAGCCACAGGCTCCCTATGGAACCTATAGGGGCTGAGGAGTATATTTGAGAGGAGAAAAGGCAAGCTGAGACAACAGGATTTAAATGTCACATTGAAGGGGGCGTTGGGAGAAAAACTTGTAGATTGCAGAGTGGCAGTGACAGGAGAAAGCCAGAGAGAGGCCTCAGGGTTTTCTTCTGTCACTTCCCTTTTCTAATAGTCATCATTTTCCCCGCCTTGTAGTTTTCCTTATCTGCCGGTAAACTTACTCTCTCTGGTTTGTAACGTCATCCTATGTTTTGGCTGAAGAGGCCATTTTTCAAAGAGATTTTGGAGCTGTTTTTATTAGTATTTTTAAACTTACATGAGGAAACTATTCTTTGTAGAAAAATTAGGCTATAAAGATAAACACAAAGTGAAAACCAAAAACCATCCCTGATCCAGCCACTATTGTTAATAGATCACTGACGTTAACAATGAGCATTTCAGCTTTTCAACCTGATGGATGTGAGCGTCTCTCGCACCTTTACCTGGTAGGAATTAGGAATCCCTCTCTTGAAGACAATTCTTAGCAGATCTGCTTAGTTGATGCAGTACATGCCGAGGAAATGCGACCTAAGTAATAATTCTGTATATCTTTATTTTTTCCTATTTAGGCAGCAATAAGGAAAGAACTAAATGAATTTAAAAGCACAGAAATGGAAGTTCACGAAGAGAGTCGACAGTTTACAAGGTAGGTAGACCAAATTCACTTTAGCATATTAAAAAGGTTTAAGATGGTAAGTTTTATGTTATGTGGATTTTATCACAATTAAATTAAAAAAACACACAAAAAAAACACAGTTTAACATAATACCATCTAATGAACATTTCTAAAATTAAGGTTTTCTTTCAGAGAAGTTTGAATCATTCTAAAGGGCTACATTTTGGTTTCTTTTTAGCTTTATTTTCTGGGCCTAAGACAAGCTCCAGTATCGTTTCCTCTGCTTTTGAAGAGATTCAGTTAAAGTTTTATGCCCAGAACAGATGCTGGTGGGAGCTGGTGTGGGCACATATGTGTCTGCTTTGGACTCACAGTAGACATACTTAGAGAGGAGAGAAACTCAGTTTTCAGAGTCTGTCACTTAAAATAGCAATCCAATTTTTACTGGTGCCGCAGAAGCTCACTATAATCCTACCATTTTTCCTCCCAGCACCTTCAGTTTTATAATCCCTGAGTGATCATGTCTGACCCCACAATTCACAGATGTTTTATATGTTTCTATCTACATACTTTGCTTTATATAACAGGTGTGTTCCTAAAAATTTGCATGCCAATCAAAACTTTAAAACTGAATTGTTAAATATATACCAAGACATGATTATATGAAGACTTCTATCTGGAGAACATGTACTGACCCCCTAGGCTAGAAACAGCCTCTGGAGGGCAGCCGTACATCAAGGTGCCACTGCTTCTGCAGAGGCCCTTGTTGACGGTGGTGTCCCTGCTCGGGAGCATGTCACATGATAGAAGTAGATTTAATAGCAAACCTCTTCCCTGCAGTGCATGGAGCCTGCCTTGCTCCATGGCTGTTGCTCCTATAGTAAGGTCTGGTGTGCAGAAGAAACTCCCCTTTCTCCTAGTGATGTTTCTTGTTTTGTTTTCTCCAACGTCATGTTTATTTATTTATTATTTGTGTGTGTGTGTGTGTGAATGCATGTAGGGCTTTCAGACATCCTGAGTGTATAGGGCTTTTCTCAGTTTGAAGGCTTCGTCCTATCATAATCTACACATAGACCCATCCCATGCCAACATCAAGCCAGACCTGAGAGTCCTATCTTTTTCTCCCTCCTACTTCTAGAGTCAGGAGAAGTTCATGCTAATATCTGACACCTGTGGTCATACTTCTCTAGTAAAATTGATCGTAATAAGGTGGCTGGATATTTATGGTGACTTCGAGCTGGCTGGGACCGCCAGGCAACTGGGAAGGTGGCATGTTTTTGTCGTTGAGACCTGGCCCTTGAACGTAGTGACTGCATCAACCCAGTCTTTGTCATTCAGGATAATTTTACTTCTCCGTATTTCTCCTAGAAATTGTAGTAATTGGACCCCTCATTTCATTTGATGGCATTATATAAAGAATAAATGACAATAAAAAATAATTAAAAATTTAAAATGCCTTTCTGTGGAAGTCCTCATTTTATGAAAAGTAAGCATTTATACCCAAAAGAGGGTCTTTCTCTTCTGTTGTGCACTATAAACAAGTAAAAAGAAAATAGGATGCATGGGAATGTAAAGGTCATTTCTTTTTTATATGTGTATTTTTAATGAAAACAAATAATAGAGTCTAAATAAGCATTCAAACAGTATGAAAATGTATCAAGTAAAAATGAAAACCCCCTTCACCCTTTCCCCAGTTTCATTCCCATTCTCACCGGTAACCACTGGTGAAAGTTTGGTGTAGATCCTTCTAGACATTTTTCTGTGCACTTACAAATGTGTGTGTGTGTGTATACATCTGCATATATGTGCACCTTCTCAGTCACACACAAAACAGCATCTAGAAAATCTTTCCATATTAGTATAGACCTCATTCATCTGAATGACTCTGGTATTTCATAGATTATATGCTGTAAATTATTGGACCGTTTGGTTGATGTTTATGGAATTTTTAGTTTTTCGTTAGTGAAACAATGTTGCCTTGACTTTCTTTATAAATATGTCTTTGTGCACACACACCGGTATTTATGTATTAGTCGCAGAAGTGGATTTGCTAGGTCGCTGGGTATATATTTTTTATGCTTTGGAAGACACTATTCTGGGACCTACAGTTTGTGAAGCATGCCTGGTCTGTTCACCTTTATCAGCTTTGGGGGTGATGATGGGGGAGAGGGGGTTCTATAGTCTAAACAATGAACATTGGCGGGCCAGGCGTGGCTCAGTGGTTGAGCACTGACCTAGGATCCAGGAGATCAGGGTTTGATTTCCGGTCAGGGCACATGCCCAGGTTGTGGGCTCGATCAATGACTCTCTCATCATTGATGTTTCTGTCTCTCTCTCTCTCTCTCTCTCTCCTTTCTTCTCTCTGAAATCAATAAAGGTATATTTTAAAAAATAATAAAAAATAAAAAAAATAAAGAATGAACATTAATATCCTAGTTCACTGATTTCTGTACAGTTGAACATCTTTTCATACCTTTATTAACCAGTTATTTTTTATTCTTTGATTTGTCTTGACCAATTTTCTTTTGGGTTGTTTGTCTTTTCCTTATGGATTAGTAAAAATTCAAATATTGTGGATACCCGTCCTTAACTGCATGTCACAATACTTTCCCCAGTTTACTGCTAGCGTTTTAACTTTTTTATGGTCCTTTGTTTAAATGTTTGCATACTTAAATTTGTCTGTATTGTCGTTTTTTAATTCATTGTTTTGTGTCCTATGGAGGAAGGTCAAGATTATGAAAGTATTACTTTAATTTTATACATGCCTTTTTTTTTTTACACTTAGATCTTTCATCCATTGTGCTTTTCTTTGAGTGTGTGATTCAAGAGAGTAAACACTTAACTTTGTTCTAAATCAGTAGTCAGTTCTCCCACTGCCACTCCTTTCCCCCTCAATGTGAAATTCTTCCTTTAATGTACACGTGGGTCAGTTTTCAGATTCTTTAGTGTGCTCTATTGTCTAGCCTTGCGCTGTGTCTTACTGTTTCATTAGAATAGGTTCGTAGTATATTTTTATATCTGGTAGGGTATTTTCTCACCTTGAAAATTCTGTTGGCTATTTTTCTGTATTTACTCATCTATAGAAACTTAGAGTATGCTTGTTGTGTTCCATAAATAGTCTATTAATATCTTCATTGTTTAAGTAAATATTAATAGATGTAAATAAGGTTGAGCTGTATTTCAAAAGAAAATTACAGACTTTTTGGAGGATAACAGCTGATATTGAGGATAAGCTTTAAAAGTTTTTCAAAAACTATATTGATTAACACTCTTTCAAATGTCTTTCCTGATAAGAAAAAAAATTAAATATTCATATCACTAAGATGAATATGCCTTGCTTAAGTATTCTTAAAAACTTGGCAGTAAAGCAGAGATCTGCTGTTTTTCCATTCATTTATATTACATTATCAGACTTGCCTTTCAGTACAGAAACATTTTGGCTCTGAGACTTACAAAAATCCTGTGTATGATTATCAAATTGTTTTCAGTGTTTCTTTCAGGAGAAACAAGTTTTGGTAAACACTGCTATGTCTAATCCAAATAATCCAAATATACAATAATGTTTTACATTTAGAAAATTGCTCATGTAGAAGATTGCGGTGTTCTTAGTGCCAGCCACCCTCAGAGGGAATAAACACGCTGTCGATCATTATCCAGCCTCTCCAGTGCCACCTGGATACAGAGCAGCTCACTTATTAGCTCTTCTTATTAGTGTCAGACATTATCTCCTTACATCAATTAAACTTTTCCTGTAAAACGTAAATCTATTAACTCCCGGGGCATTTGGGGGTGTTAAAAGGGTTGAGGCGGCCCTGTTCCCTCTGCCCGGGCCCCTCGTTATCTGGAGATAATCTCCCACACAGTGATGTATCGGTCAACACTGGAAGGACCCGTTCCCATATGTAGCCTTGTGGGGTTTTTTGTGTTTTTTTGCTTCTGTATCTGTGGAGAGAGACGCAAAAAGCTGATGACATTGGTTGTCTCTGGGAAGGGGAATTGAGTGACTAGGTGCTGGCATGGGAGGGATTCTTTTCACTACTCTTTGAACCTTTTGAATTTGTGAAACATCAGAATTTATTCCCTAATCAGGAAAAAAAAAAAAATTTAAATAAAGGATCTATTCCCTACTCTTTTTGTAAATGAGAATTTCAGCACGATGACTTTTCTTGAGTAGTCATCATGTGACACTCTTGCTATTGGTATACCAAGAAGACACCTTGGAAACCCCCATCATGAATACATTCTGGGACATGCTTGATCTGTAGGGGGGAAGAATTGTAGTGATCCCCTCTTTCACCCAATTCCCCAAGTTTCTCCCAGTATTTGCAGGTAGCTGTCTGGAATTGGAATGCACCCTAGGGGCATGTAACAAGTGTGAGGACGAGTGGGCCCTCTGAGAATTTATTCTGTGGCCTGTTAGGTACCAAGCCCTAACCTTGTCCCTTAGAACACTTGCTGCTTACCCGGCCACCTCCTGTATCTTCTCCCAGCAGCAGCTGTCCTCCCACACCACTGTTCCAATTCCCAAGACCATTTGCAGAGCCATTGCGTTCTGGAAGGAGATCTCCATGGCAAAGGAAAGCCACTTCCCTTTCCATAGTAAATGGAATTTCTACCATTTAAAATAATTCTCGAAACCATAAAGGCAAATTGTATGAAAGGTCAAATTTTATTTAAAAACTAAATTTTAAAACGGTTACAACTGAGTGTTAAGATTAGGGATAATCATATTTTTCTTCTGAAAGTTCTGCTTTCCAATTTTTTTAAGTTTCAATGTGTATCAGATTTATAATCAAGAGAGTATTATTTTTTTTAAAAACTTTGAATCTTGTAAATAGGAACAATTTTAGAGTGTGCAATGTAGTATTTCCATTAAGGGATATTATGAAACCATTGAATTGATGCTCTGAGAATGAAAACGAGCCTTGAGGGATCGTTGGCATAATATAAAGTGGAAAAATCAGGATACTAACTAAATGTACATACAGCAGTGGTATGTTCTATTTAAAATTCAGATGCATAGAAAAAAATTAGGAAATGATATAAAAAACTCTTACTGGTTTAAGAGTAGGGATATTTTTTTTTTTCATTTCTCTACTTTTCAAATTTTCTTGATGTGGTTATGTTGAGTGTGCGTGTGTGTTTAATTATCTCATTCTGTGCCATCTTGTGGTATCACTATCTTAGGTGTGTTTACAGATAAAATAAACCCCTCTTTCAGCTTAATTAAGAATCCTGCCCCGAGGAAGGAGAAGGGTGCTTCTGCAGTGGCGCTTTCTTTCATAGGCGCGCCATTTACTTGCTACCTGGACAGAAACTTAAAAGGGTTGCAAAATGCTGCTGTGACCACCAGAGCTGAAATCATGGCTCAGCTTTCGAAGTAATAAAATCCCACCCAACCTGTGGTCTGTTTTCTCGGGCAAAGCAAGGAGCTGTGGTTTAGGAGAACCTCCTCATTTGTTTAACATAAGTGTGTGGGCTGAGACAAGTAAACGCTCTTAAATAAAGGGGAAATGAATTATTCAGGATTTCTGTATATCACAAATAGGAAGCATAGGAAAGTTCATATTTTACATTTGTGAGTGATTTTATATTTTATATTTTATGAACGAATATACAGGAGTACATTTTAAAAAATAGATTATGAAGGAACCATATGGCAACAAATTATTTTTTTATGGAAAAGAATTATTTTTTCCTGAATTCCATGATTTAAAAATAGCTTTTCCGCCAGTTTACTCCCTCTCAACAGTATGGAAATAAGAAAAATGTATTGCAATTTTAAGAAGAAGATGAAAATATAGATAATTTCAAATTTGAATCTCTGGAAAGTTCTGGAAAAAAAAGAGCAGTCAGGAAAACTTAAGTATCCTTAGGGCACAGTAGATGTATTTATTGCTCCATCGGCTTGAAGCCTAGAGCCAAAACTGTCATTCTGCCAGGTAGGCGAACTTCTCAGGAGGCAAAGCTGAACTTCTTATGTGTCAAAATGGATGCAAACCACTGAATAGTAACTAACTTAAGAAAGCTTTGCATTTCAGTACCTCTAGCATAAAATTTTAGAGCTTAGTTTGAAGATAAGATGCTTAATTTAAACACAGTGTAAGTGCCCTTTTCTGATTGGATAGTGTGGGAAAATATGTGAGTTGTTTTGGTTTTTTTACCAGACCTTTCAGCCCATATGAAGAGAGCCCACATTTCTGACCCTGGGCTTTGTGAGCATATTATTGCGATCACACATTAGCTGGTCACCTTCCCTTCTTAGCCAGCCCTTGAAGCTATGCTGATGGCCTGTGATCTTCCATGCAACCCAGACTGTGGGACTCACTCTCTAATGGGACCCATGGGCAAATTGTGTCTGCGGAAAAAACAAAAAACCTTACAGTGTCAACCTTATAGTATCCTGCCAAATTTTAGAAATGTTTTTACAGGACACTTTCCAGGAAAAATGCTGGGCTTTGGAAGGCTCTAAATCTCTCCTGGTCCACTGACTACTCACCTTGTTACCCTTCCCAAATTTTTATTTACCTACTTCATCCCACAGACATTACTGATGGGAAGAGAAAGCTCCTCATGTCATGTTTCCCCAAACTTGGCCTTTGAATCCAGGACCAAATGAAGATTAAGACACTGTGGGGTGTTTGGTGTATGAAGCCCAGCGAATAAGGAGAGGCCTAAAATAAATGCTAAGTTACATGAGTCTGTAATTCCTGGAAAAGCTGGACCTAACAGGGAGGGACCTTTGGTAGCTCGTGGTATAGACACACTGCAGGGACAGTGTATTTGTCTGTATCGACAGGGACCCCAGGCTCCTCCCTCCGTGTGGTATGGACAGGGCTGTGTTTCCTGCACGGAGGGAGTGATGCTCTTGTTTCAAACCCAGGGACATTGCTGGACTTGCTTTTCTAGTCATTGCAAGAAGTTTGTGTAGGGCCCAGAGATCTGAGTTGCCAACATGAGGTTTTAGACTAAAAGGATTTTAAAAGGTAGAACGTTTAACAAGATAGAAAGTACAAGGGCAGGTTTAAAAGAAAGGATAACCTGTGCAGTTGTGCACATGCTTAGTACGCTGCCTATAGAATGTTTGGAGGGAAATTCCCAACAGGCATTTGGAAATTCAGGTGTAGAAAGTAGATTTGGGGTCCTGCACGGGAGGTGATGAGGGGATGAAGTTAATGAAATAGTCCCTGTTTGTTGATGTTTTCCTTGTATAACCACAATCCAGGGGTAACCAAAACCCTTATGAAACATCTCCTTTTGCTCAATAAAGGTTAGAGCATGATCCACGAGGCTAGTGGTGTTTTGTTTCTTGATGATATAGCCGGCGTCTTCTGTGCGGGGCTGTCCCAGCATTCCAGTATTCTGTTACGACCGTAATTTATAACAGTGATTCATTGGGGGATGTCTGGAGCCACCTCTAACTACAGACATTCCCGTTCCTTATTCAGCTCACTGAATGCAGACTCTGCTTCTGTACCATAGACTCAGTGATTCCATTTTCTTATTTCAGGTTCCATCGTCCGTAATGAGGTGCGAGACCCTTTGGAAAATAGACTGATCATCTTTGGGGGAAGCCTGGCTCCCCGAACACCTGATATTGCACTGGGATTTGATTGTGTGTGTTTCCGTGTACCTTGTGGTGAAGGAAGCGTGCGGAAAGTGGAAGCGCATAGAAAGTGCTCCCCGCCTGTACAGCCCACATGTGGCCAACAAGCAAAGGGACAGGTATAGTGACCCTGCTGTTCAGCATATGTATTGATGGTAAGGGACACAATGGTTACATGAGTTGTTCTTCATCAGGGGTTTTAATCAAAGAAGATGAGCAGAAGACAATCGCTGGCTCCCTATTACCAGAAAGCCAAATTTTAAAGTGCGGGTTTTAAAAAAGTGGAGAATGGAATGACTGGGCACTGGCAAGGGGTGGGGGTTGAAAAACAGAAAGAGAAATTTTTCATTATGTTAATGAAAAAGAGAAAATTGAAGCTTAAATGTATTTTTGAAGTAGGCTTTTGATAGCTGAGAACTTATTAAGGGATTGGGGGATCTAATCACCCGCTGTGGATTCTTACAGACCTGATCCTAGAAGAATATTCTTTCACCATTATGTTCTACAGTATAGTACCATTATTTTATGTTGTGCCAGTGAATCCAATTGCCACAAATAAGTCTGAGTGTTTTCATGCATCTTTTTCTTAAATGCAAGAGGCTTTTATGTACTCTTAGCAAGCATGCTTACCCAAATTCTGTTGCATGCTTTAAGTAGCATAACTATACACACTTCACTTTTTTTATACTCTTTTCCTAATGACCAACCTTCTAGAAGGATAACAAGACTGGGAATGAAGTCACACAGGATGTGACCCTATTCATCTGTAGCAAGCTTTAGAAATAAATCTTTTGGTCTTTCCCTCGCTTGATTATCTCCAAGGTGGAAACAACCATACTTGATCTAAGGAAGATAATATCGACAATCACATCTTTTTTAAAAAAAATCTGAATCCAAAATTAAAACTTAAGCAAAATGCAAGTGTTCTGCCAGCAGTTAGCTTTGAGCGGGACTGCAAAGGACTACTTATTTCCAGTGCTGCATTCAGTTGGATCGCTGCTATTAAAAAGATAAAGCACAGGGATCAAAGAAATACTCACCCAAAGACATAAAGGAACACAGAAAATTGTTGCTAAGTCGAGAGTGAGGAGAATCTCATTTTGTGTTTTATGAGTGTGCAGATTGCATCCATAAATATAACATTGACTTTCACTGCAAAAAAAATAGGTGACTTTAAAATTATGGAAGGTGTCCCTCTGCGCCTACAGTCTGTATTGTTTACATTAATAAACCCTCTGTTGTCATCTTGCATTTTCCATGGAGTCACAGGCACAGCATGGCTTCTGCGCCCAGACACATACGACCACATGTAAATACTACCTTGCACTTAATTGTTTTTCACAATTGTTTTGTGCCCCTTTTATTAAAAACACATGATTTGTATAATAAGACAAGACCTAAATAGACTTCATTTTATTCTCAGAGCTTGGACAAGAATTTTCTGAAATGATTCTGGTTCATAATGTGGAAGACTGTAATTTTCAATTTCAACCAAAAAGCAAACATTTCATCTGGTAGATAAATTTGGATCCTGCCATTTATTGATATTTTAAAAAACCACTTGAAATTAGATGATTTTGCTTAAAAGTAAAAATATTTGGCCCCAATTAGTCTATTACAAAAAAAAACAGGACCATTTATAACTAAGAAGAGTGACCAGCACTGTTGCACCTCTTGCCACACTAGCCACGTGCATTAATGAAATAAACATAGATTTCTGCACTGCTGTTATTTCACTAACAGGGTGAGACATAGTTTTGCTCTGGAAAATGTTTCTGATGCCTGGGTGTCTTTCTCTGGCTGAGGTTTAGTCCATTTCATAGGGTTTCAATCCAGCCATAGACATAACATTACCTATGTCCTAATTTTTGGCTGAAGTCACCCTCTTCCTTACATTATTGTATTATTAGTTTATTGTCTTGGGAAAAGTACCAAGGAATGTAATGTTACTTTAATTATCTATACTTAGGATTTTTGAACAAATCACAAAGCCTCACCTCCATAAAAACGATAACTATAAGACATCACTATTTTGTCACTCAATATACATGTCATAGAAAGTCCCTATTTAGCTGATAAAAGGAACAGTTCTTTCCCCTCTAGTGGTGCATGTAATGCAATTTTTTATTCCTACCCTGAGGTGCACCCAGACAAAAATGAGAATCTGGTGCCTCGATATATTTTCTTGTATGATAGGTCAGATTGAGGAACCTACTCACTTTTTTTCTCCATACTGATTTACGTGCTTAGAGAAAAGTTTAAACAACACAAATTTAAAAGTCAAAAAAACTAACCGCTGCTAGTCCGATATATAAGAATTGGAACCACCAGTTACTTCTTAGATTGATTCTTTAAATAAAAAGCTGTGGAAAGAATCAAAGGATTGTGAAGTAAGCTATACTTTGCAGAATAGGCTCTATTTTAATAGCTAACTAAAATGCAGAAACACTGCATATCCACCCCGACAGCCCACCCAGAGGTCTTGTGAACCCCGCCCCCCCATATATTGATGCCTCTGCCAGAGCATTTCTGCAATTTCAGCAGTTCTACAATCCAACCCATAAGCTATAGTTCTAGCAAGAAAATAAGTGTGTGTGTGAATCTTTTTCCCTATTTAAACCACGACATTAGGCTGATGTAGAGGAAGTGTGTGGGTTTTCCTGAGTCCCCAAAAAACCCATCTCCAGGATGGTCCCAGGTAGGAAAGAACTAGACAGACTGTAAGTGGCCATTTCCATTATTCTTAACATGGAGAAAAGGAACATTGACATTGAGGTAGTAAGAAGACTCCCTGGGCTTATCAGCATTTTCGTGGCCATTACCAATCAGTCCGACAAATTAGACCTCTGGTGAGCAGCATTAATTTAAGGCGACCCTGCCTGATGGTTTCCTGTGTATGTGAAATGTCTTGCATTTTTATGGTCAAATAGTTCACCCTTGTGTTAATTCCTTAAATTATTTACATTAAATCTATAATATTCAGAGAACCATTTTGGGTATTTCAATAACTGTTTTACATACAGGAAAAGACAAACTCGTCTCTCTCTTTGATTTACCCAGAAAAACTGACTTTCTGGTTTCATTTTTATATCCTTTATTAGCACAGTGATTTTTCACTTAATCTTTTTCTGTTGTTAGTAAATATATTCTGTAAGTAGAAAGTTCTGAAATTTAAGTGAAGATCTGTTTAAGGAAGCAGAGGCGTTGAATACGCCCTTCAAAAATGATCCAATATTGAAAATGAGAGGTAAGCTCTTCACACCCATAATTCAGGTTTTACATGCTGCAGTTAATTCAGTGCTGCGCTGGCACTTTAAAAAAAATACAGTAGCTTGCACTTATAAGAGAGAAAAGTCTTCATTAACACGCCTATCCTGATAAGTACCACATTTTAACACATAACAGGCATTGCATTTATACTTAATGGAGTGAGACAGACACAACTTTCAAAAATTGTACTGTCTTCACAATAGAAAAGGGCAACCTTGTCTACCGCCTAGTAGTATGCCCACATTTAAACAGGAAGGATTTCTTTTCTCTCTTTCTTTCTTGCTCAACATTTTCTTCAGTGTTAATATTTTTTGAGTGGTCTCAGCAGCACATTTCACAGTGAGAAATCTCTTTCAGAACAGGTGAGAGGGAATCAAATTCGTACATGACATATAAATTTATGTCATTTCATCAGTATGGTAGCTCGAGCATTCCTAAATTTCAGTCATATTTTTAAACCTAACCTTACTAGTAAAAGTATGTATTTTGAATCAAAAATGGATTTCTTCACATCATTAGAGTGTGCTGTGAACACTAAGGAACCTTAGATGCAATTCATTACAAAGTTCTCTCTTGGCCTCTTGAAATAGTTCATCTTCCACTACTGAGTATTTGCTCTCTACTGTGGGTTGGCTGTATCACTTTGTTTTATTTGACAAAGCAGAATGAACTTCCAGTACTGAAATATATCCTAGAGGGGAAAAGTAACCATCAGATTCACAGGACCATCTTTCTGAGAAAAAGCACCTCTCCAGATAATTCAAACCCAAGTTTCAAAGAGTACCATGGGGCTCTGCTATAATTTGGCAGTGACCAAAGGGTGGTGGGAACAAAGGTAGAATAGTTTCAAACCATTCTCACTTTTTTGGTAATCATTAAGCTTTAGCTTTGTATGGAAATGTGCACCACCATTAGTATTTCTAGAAAACACCAGAAACATAGTCCACTTAAGCTTTTTCAAAGACAGTGTCATCCCAAATTAACAAATCCCATGGTATATACTGTAAGGTTTCTGGCACACACTAAAAGGAGACTCCTATGGCAGTTATTCCTGCTGAAAGCCAACCCTACAGGCAAGGGTCATTTTGAGCTATGCTAGGATTTGCTGTACACACACACACACACACACACAGTCATTTTGCTAGTGTTGCTAGCATAGCTGTGCATATGAGCAAAGCACCCTGGATCCGTGTTTCTCAGTGGGGGTGCTGTTGGCATTTGGAGCTTGCACAGCAGTGCCTCACACCGTGTAAGCTGTATGCTATCCCAGACCCCTGCTGACTAAATGCCAGTAGCATGCTCAGTCACTGTAAAAACCAAACGTACAAAGCTTTCCCCCGTGGTCAGATGGCCCCCTAGGACGGTGGTTGTCCCTCCCTTGAATACCACTGTCTACTACAATTTAGGGCACACAGGAAGAAGTTTCTGTCCCTAAACGTTGTCTCGACTGCCTTGCATTTCTTTGGATCCTGAATGGTTTCATCTCCCTTCATTTCTCAAACCTTCTGCTTCGATTCAGCTTTCATTTGCCAGTTCTTTGGGGAGGACGTTACTGGGCAGGCCTGGCAGTTCTCAGGGGCATCTTCACCTGGGTGGCCCCTGGATGGACTTAACGGAGAGATTTCACATGAAGCAGACTTGCTCATTTTTTGACCAGTTTTACTTCAGAACTATGCTGTTGCCCATAACCCTTGTTGATGTCACGAGGACCCTTGCATGGCCTAACCACGAACATGGTGGCTGACAGTCCACGTGAACAAAACCTGTGGTCTCTGAGCATCACCATGAGATGTTACCTGGGAAGCTGCATCCCATGAATTCCAAAACAATCGCCTGTTTATCCTGTTAAAGAAGTATTTAATCCACATGCAGGTATTCACATTCCCCCTGTGCACATGTAGTCATGTGGTTCAACTTTTCCAAAATTTGTGAACATTGAATTACGAAGGAAACGTGGATTGCATCTACATTGTTTATACTTCAGTGGCAATCGTGCCCGAAACAGGATGAGTTTTACCTAGGTGAAACATTACACTGCACTACCAATACCTAAATGTACTTATTCTCTTTGTTGCTTTTTATGACCAAACCTGAATGGTAAATGTGTCTTGAATAGATTTGGATGAATTGTAGCTAATAGAATGGAATTAATTTAGCCACTATAATTTCTTTAAATATTCAAATTTCTAAAAATCTTTTTTGAGAAAGAGCAACTCAGAGTCGATAAAGGTGGTTATATTGTGAACTTTTAGTTGGTGCTTAAGAATTTGTACCTTGTTAAATACCAGTATTTTTTTTTTTTTTAGAATAAGTTGAAGGGACTAAATGAGGCAGAATGCCACTCCACCCTCAGGTCAATTTTATGGTATGTAAAATGCCGATAATATTTGTGCCACTTGCCAATTTCGGGGGTTGGGGTGCTTTTCCCTTACTGGATGCTTCTGTTATAGTTTGACTATACCATTACATCGCTTAGGGAGCCTCCACAAGGAGAAGTCGCCATTGCAATGCTAACAAGGGTTCAAAAACAATCTGCATGAATCTAGGGTCAAACCACTTTCATGACTTAAAATATAGGCACTAATATTTTTTATATATTTTTAAATATTCTGTGGCTTAGAAATGTGCCAATGTGTTCACAACATTCTGAACCGACTTCACCAGATTTAGTACCTACCAAAAACTCTTTTTTTTTTTTTTTTGTCTATGTGACAGTCATTTTAAAATAAAGGACATAGTCGTTCTTTGACTATTTGAAGCTTTGGTTAAAGTGATATGGGTGGGAAGCTGTGACCACTATCAGACTGACTGACTGACTCCTGATTTCCAGTGAGTGATCTGATCCTACATGTTGCACAGGTGTACTATCTATGAGTGTAAATAACTGGAACTGTACACCAATTAACATGACAGTTTCTCTTTTTTGTTGCTATTGTTCTTGATCTGTACTGTATTATAGTATGTGGGTATAAATATCTCCAAGTATACACACATATGTATATGTATTCTACTATTGTAACCTGAAAGAAAGACTATGTATTATCTTTTTTATTCTGTACTGGTGTTTGTGTTATTTAAAAAGCAAAGTTATGCTCTATTTAGTTGTATTATATTATAGGATACCTTGCTGTGCACAATTCCAAGTGCCTTAGAACATTGCTTAGCTTTCTTAAGTATATAAAAATGCATATATGTATAAAATTGGGAAAAGTTACCTCAATAAAATCGTTGGGAAATCCCCAGCTCTACTTTGTTCCAATTTCTGTTGTATTCAGACAGTGCTCAGTCTTTTCAAATTAAAAGTGTGCAGAGTTCTCACCTGTCAACCAAGAATAAGACGGCCTTTCTAATTGCCTGTTATTTCAGCTCCACCTAACTGAAAAAATTTTTATAGAAGGCCTTGTGATTTGTACTTTTTATTTAAAATATCTAAGAATTACTGCTTTAAACAGCAACTTACAGTGTATTTTTTAAACTTGCTGTCTTTTTATATCTGAGGATTTTGATATTGATGTTTTTCTTGACACTATTATGTATAAAAATAAAAGGTAGTCCCTTTAGAGTTTATAATATAGAAAATAAATAAAACTTCCTCATTATGCTTACTATTTAATGTATTATAAGCAAGGAAAAAGGTTGGGAACATATTTTGACCAGAAAAAGAGTTGGAGTATACTTTTCATATTTTTCAACAGGGGTAACAAATGGTAACTTATGCTCCCTCAACTCCAGGGCAAGAACAGAGGTAGAGGGGGTGTTGAAAAGCAATCTGTGTACCATTATTCTCGACTTATGACATATGATGAGAAGATTAGGACCAAAAAATTAAAAAGTACCTTTGAAAAGCTGGCCCCAAGTATGCTATTAAAAATTACATTGAAACGTTACTTTCTAGAACCCAATGGAGGTAAGAAATGGACAGTGTTCGGTGGTGTAGCATTTATTGCGATTGAACGAAGCGCGTCACGGGACCTCAGCTCCGACAGCTACGCGGAGATGCTGCTCCTGCTCTGCCGTCCACGGGCAGGACAAGTGCTGCTCAGTTTAGTTCTGAACTCTGCCCTTTAAAGCATGGTCGCTATCATGAACAGACAAACTTCTAGAGAAAGGCTAATAACCTAAAGTTCATGTGACGTTTCCTGCTCCTTTGCTTAAGAAGTGTACCATTTCTAGAGATTTTAAGAAGAAAAAAACCTGGCATGTGCTTTTTATAATTAGACAAATATCCTAGGGAGGAGAGAATTGGCATTTTCCATACTTATTGACCAAGACTTTGTTCCTGGATGGACTTTTGACTTTGGTTGGCCCATGTGAGACAATCTGGAGTAAACAGCACTTGACATTGGGGAAAATTTGCCCCTACTAGTTCAGGTGGGCACACTCAGCAGTTCACACTTAAGTGTCCATCTTTCCCCCCAAAGTTTGTCATGTCTTCAGTTCCGTCCCCAGTTACCCCTGAAGTCCTGGTAGGTGCCTCTCCGAGTCTTCCCCAACCAGTTCATCTTCACCCTGCCACCACATTATCCTTCCTGACGGGCAACTCGCATGTTATTCCAACTCAGAATTTTCCAGTGAGTCTCCTCTGCCCACTGAAAAACTCCCCGGTACTTAATCTAGCCTCAAGGTCTTCTGCAGTTTCACCACAGACCACAGCTCCAAACGACTCTCCTTTTCTTCCTCACTTGGGCCAAATCAAGTGAAACTCATTGTTCCCTCTTCCAACTATGCCTTCTTCCAACATTACAACTGTTTTCACATCTTTTCCTCCAACTGGAATTCTATTAACATCCCACCCATCTTTCTAGGAAGGATTCAGACGTCTTCTCCAGCTATTGCATTTTTTTCTATATTCTTTCTGACTTGACCCAACTCATTTAAAGGACATCCAATTTGGTTTGTCCCAATTCTATTTAAATGTCCAGTCTTCTTTGTCCCTGAGGCCAGAACGCTATCATTGTGCTCAGGATGGCACAATCAGTTATGAAAAATGAGGTGAAGAAAGTGACTAAAGGCATGGAAAACTAGAGCTTAACAATGTTTAAACCTTGAAAGTCCTTGTAAACCTTCTAAAGGAGATTGGAATTTATCCTTAAGACAAGAGGGGCCCACCGAAGTATTTTAAACCCAGATAACATTCTCAGATTTCCCCTAATTTATTCTGGCCACAATGTAGAGACTGGATTAGGAGAAGCAATATTGGAAGTGCGAAGACCATTACTTTTTTAAAATTTTTTCATTCACAGTTGACATTTAATATTATATTAGTTTAAGGTATACCACATAGTGGTTAAACATTTATATAACTTATGGAGTGATCCCTCCTGATAAGCCTAGTACTCATCTGACACCATAGTGGAGACCATTACTGTTGCTATAATTTTGCTGGGGGGGTGATGGCCTCAACCAAGGTATTAACTATTGGAATGAAGAGACATAATCAAGGGACAGTTGAAGTGATTTTTGCACATGGAAATAAGACAAATATCTTATTAAAGACAATACCCACGTGTCTGGCTTGGGCAACTAGGTGGAGGATGGTAATGCCACTTGCTGAGATAGCAAACAGCAGAGGTAATGTTGTTATAAGATGGAAGTGGGGGGGGGGCAAAGGGGGGAGAAGTGGGTACAAGGTGTGGAGAGGGGAAATATTCAATTTTGTACATGTAATTCAGCTTGTTTCAATTGCCTGCCTGTTGGGACATCCACATGAGAACAGTCCACTGAATGAGTCTGAAGGTCGAAGAAAACGTCTACTGAGAGGACGTTGAGAACCATCAGCACTTGCAACGGAAGCTGTGGCAACGGGCAAACTCCTTAACAATGTAGCTGCAGACTGCGAAGAAATTACTACAAAGAAAATTGAATGAGCTATACTTTTGTTGCCTGAGTTTGTCTCTAAATCGTAAAATTACTTCATTTACAGATCCTCTGAGTGCTTCAGATGATATATATATTTTTTAATTTAACTGGGTCTTACTGGTTAGCTTAATTTTAAATAAAATGGAGTAGCACCTTATGGAGGGGGTTAAGTTGTAAAGGAAGAATTATATTTGAAAATACCTTATGTTGCCCCAAATATAAGGGCAAATTATCTCAATAAGCCCAACATAGCCTTTTTTTTTTTTTAACTTTATCAATGGAATGTTTGGTTGGTTCTTTACTTAAGCCACAGATTAAGAAGTTAGTTTACATTTAGGTGCTCTATTGTGTTTAAACACACGCACACCTTACTTTAAGCATAAGAATTACACTCGGCACTGTGACATGCTGACACTGTAAGCGCAGAGCAAAGAGTGATGGAGGGAAAGACGGTAACGTGCGCATTGACGGAGTGACAGGCAGAATCACTCAATAGTAATGCAATCCCGCAATAGTAGTAATAGTCGTCTCCCCTTTTCTGAAAACATAGAGTTAAATTTATAATTAAACGCATGCCTGATCTAACTACCCCATATCTGTAAGAAGTTTTCATCTGTTTCTTTGTCACTTAAAAGAAAGGGGACTGATAGTGATTTGTGAGCTTTTTATAGCCTAAAGCTAAAATGAATATGACCAAAACATACCGAAGAATCTAAATTCATTTTATAATTTAAAAGCACGGTAAAGACAATTAATTTGGATTAATATTTCCAAAGAGTATTCACAAATGAAATGTACTTTTGACTCTAAGAACAGGAGTCAGTAAACAGAAAGCCAACCAATTTCAAGAGTTTGTGTAGTTAGAAAGGGTTTTAAAGAACATACAAATTACTAGGGGCTGGAAACAAGTAAAGGAATCTAAGCATGTAATATAAAGAACATGAAAGGCACCAGGAATTGAGGGAAAACAAAAGGATTGGGATCCTGGGAAGCTGAAAGTTGGACCAAGATGCAAGCTAACAGATTCCCGTGATGAGAACCTGATTTGAGGCAAAGCATGTGTTTCCTGACAAGTCCCAGATGCTGGAGGAGGCCCTGGTTTGGGGAGATGGCCATCCTGAGGCAACAATGCAAGCACAGAACACACAATCTCTCATTTAATTCAACACACCCTGTGAGATAAGTATTAACATTATCACTCCCATTCTACACTGAGGTGAGTAAACGAAGCTCCCTTGCCCCGGTTATACAATGAGAGTGAAATAAACACCAGAAGCTAATTCCAGGCAGCATACCAGGCATACTACTGTTGTTATTCAATATTATAGGGAAAAATTAGTGCTTCGGTGAAAAGTGATGCACTTTTTAGATAAGCACTCCAGATTCTGACTTTATGTGGCTTTGCACCTTTCCTTGCCTTTGAGCTATAATTTCTACAGTTTTGTAATTCATAGAAAGTTGACAGTAATGAAAATAATTCTTGTCTCTAGACAAGTACATACATTCTGTCCAGTGAAGGCTCAGCTGCCTTCCCTAGATAACTGGGAAAGAAGCCAATTTTGTCTCCTTTTGCACATTTTTTTCAATATTCCTGCTCTATTGATGTTTCTGTTCTTTGTATTGCCTTCTGAACTAATTGAAACATCTTACCAGTTCCCTCCTAATGATGTATTACATAAAATCTTGAACATGTGCTCGATTTATATACATATAAATATACATATGAGTCATGATTTTACAATTTTAAAAATATCCTTTAACAATATTTACTAAAGTAGATTATATTAGTATCTAACCTGTCCCCTCTTTGGTTTTTGTATTTAAGTATCTTTACTTTTTTTTATACAAATGTAGTACTTCAAATTGTCACTGCAACCATGTAAACAATGAAGAAATATCTAAATAGAAATTGAAACTTGCCTGCAATCCAGCTCATCCTAGAGAATTGCTGTGGGCAGCTTAGTCAACCAGATATTTTTCTGTGCTTGCACTATGATATTTCTGTGTAAAATGTTTTTCTATTTATATTTTTTTAACAGAAAATGACATCTACTGTGATGTTCTGCAACCTGCTTTTTTCCCAACTTAATAAGTGGCTGCTGTTACGGACCTGCCTCTTCCTTAGAACAGCTTCACAGTAGAATGCAGTATAAATATTTTTTGTTTTTTTCAATTAATCCCTTACTAATGGAATTTCAGTTACCTTCTCTATTACAAACGGAGCTACAGTAACCATCCTATTACATCCATTCTGATGCACCTCCCCTTTTTATAAATTAAGTACCTCCATAAGCTCTATTAATATTGTCAAGCATGTAATTTGTAATTCCTAAAGTTACTGCTTCAGGGTCTGGCAACTTTTCTCCACTTTAGGGTACTAGCTTCCTGATGCTTTGGGATCCTTGAGTGATGCTGATGGAGAACCTCCTCTGAATGGGATATAATTGAGCTAAGCTGATAAACACAATTTCAATAGGCAAGCTGATTTCAGATGAAAAAAATAACATTTTCAAAGCCTAAACTAAGCTGAAAATTCTGTTTAATCATTTTGAAATAGATGCCATTAATTAGAGCATACTAATAAGAGTAGAAGTATGGCTTGGATTTATTATCATTGCTATGATATTTCAGTTTTGAATGGCAGGAAATAACATTTTAATGGTAGGAAATAACACTGTGTTAAGACAAGCCAGAGTTTGTATATAACCATTTTAATGAACGCATTGTGTTAGATATTATATTCAACAAGTATTAAATGAGCTAACATATATACAGAACCCAGAACAGTGTCTGACACCTGTAAGCTGGCTTTTTGAAATGGGGTGCATTGCAATGGTTAAGGGGGTTGTGATTCTCTAGCTACACCTGGATTCAAATGTTGGCTTCATGGCCTTGGGCAAAAGTCACTTGACTTTCTGTTCCTCAATTTCTAATCTGTAAAATAAAGGGACAAAAATAGTGAATATCCTTAAATCCTTGTAGGAGTCTAATGAGTAAATGTATGAAAGTGTTTGAACACCGTAATGATTGAGTCCTTACTATACTGTGTCTTTCCGGTGCATTTGAGAACTGCAGACAGTTTGATAGGGCTGGGTCACAGAGCGGTATGTCAGGGAATAAGGGGATGAGATGCTGTATTGATGGATAGAGGTCAGATGACATAGTCTCGGCTGCCATGCAAAGGGGCTTGGACTTTATCCTGAGGCCAGAGGGTGGATATTGAAAGCTCCATACAGAAAAATTGCCTGATTGGATTAGAGTATTTAAAATGATAAATTTGATAAAAGGGGCAATGAAGTGATGCCTTTGGATATTTAGGAGGCAGAATCGACAAAAATTGCTGGCTGACTGCCTTAGGGAGGCAGTGTAGCATATGCTTAAGAGTGTGGCCTTTTTCCCCTGGCCAGTGTGGCTCAGTGGTTAGAGTTTTGGCCGGCACAACAAAGGATCTCAGGTTTGATTTCCTGTCAAGGGCACATACCCTGGTTGGTTGCACGTTCGATCCCCAGCCCTGGTATGGTAGGTCGTGCGAATGGGGGAGGCAACCAATCGATGTGTCTTTGTCACATCCGTGTTTCTCTCTCTCTCTCTCTCCTCCCCCCTCCCTCCCTTCCACTCTCTCTAAAAAAATCAATGGAAAAATATCCTTGGGTGACGATTAACAAAACAAATAAACAAAAAGGAGTGTGGCCTTTCTGAACTACACGGATGGGCTACACATCTGCGCTCTTCCACTTACTACATGACCTTAGGGAGCCACTTCATTTCTCAGACTCTGCATCCGTCAGATTGGTTTACTGTTATCTACCTGCACTTCGCAGGCTTATCAAAGGAACTGAAGGACAGAACGAATCCAAAGTGCATAGCACAGTGTGTTTCGTGTTAGTATTAGACATACATATATATAAAGTAACAGAATATTACTAAAAAAGAAAAAACAAGCAAGCAATGTGGTTAAGTGGTTAAGCTTGAGTTTAAATCCCTGCTCTGCCATTTGACTAGTTGTGTGCCTTTGAGAAGATCACTTAGCTTTCTCATGCCTGAGTGTTAGCGTTTGTAAAATAGTGAAGATAACAGCACCTCTCTCATAGCGTTGTGGTAAGGAAGGCATGAAATAATTCAGGTAAAGTACCAGAACATTAACTCACGTACACAAATAGTATTTATTGAGTATATGCGCCCGGCGCTATTCTAGGCCCCGAGAATAGACAAAGTAGTAAATAAAACAGATCAAGCCAAAATTAAACCTGCCCTCATGAAGCTTAATGATGATGAATATCTGGCACATATAAGTGTTATTTCTATTACAAAGTATTTTCTCAAGACAAGTTCTGTGGTGCTAATCTAAATTGTTTCTATAATTTTCACTGTAATACAAAAATAAAATCCCATAAATATATATATAATGGTAACAGGACATAAAGATGCAGTCCAAGGTAACTGAGACATGGGAAAGACTCCGGGAACCGGGGAGGGGAAACACATTTGAGAAACAGTAGCCGGTAAAACCGAGCGCATCGCCCGCCCCTTTGCCCAGAAAAGCCTCGCGGCGCCCAGCACGTGCCCGAC